GATCTGTGTTTCTTGCACGTTCAAGGTTCCTCTTTTGAAGGTTACAATTATGACTCTGGCCATGTTTTAATCATAGTTTGTTCCCCAAAACATTTATAATTTACCAAGAAACTTGAACATTTGTTGACTCCCCCTCCCATTATATTCATATGTTTGGTTTTGTACCCATTCTTGATCTGTTTCGAGAGGCATCATTGAATCAACAAATTAGATTCAAGTTCACCCACTAACCACAAAGTCAGCAAAGGAAAAAAGTGAACCAATTTAGAAGCACTCCTTTAATTCTCAGCTGATGGGCTCAGAGTCAATTGCTTTTGTTTGCTAAAGAGGAATAACCAAAACCAGTGTGATTTTGTTGAGATTATGACTATCCTGGCCCAAAGTTAGAGGGGGGCTGCCAAATCCTAGCAGCCTTAACACCAGCTCTGCCAGATTTAAAAGCCCCCCTGCAATTTGATCCACCATGAATCCAGAGTAAATGCTTTGGTTGTGAAAACTAGAAGGGGAATAGCTAACACCTGTGGGATTTTGGTGAGATTATGATCTAGACCAGGGATGCCCAACCTTTTTTGAACCGAGAGCTATTAAAGTTGCCAGTCTGCCGAGATCTACCAGTCCAAGCGTCCAGGCGTAGCCATTACTGACAGCCTACTACCAGGTAAATACACATTTCTACTTGTGTAAAACTGAGTAGTGTTGCTACAAAAGTATAAATTAGGCTTACTAATAAAACAACTCAGATCTGAAGCTACACAGGAATCTGCTGCCAAAGTGCAATAAAAAAGACAAAATTAATAGAATCAAACCCTTTTTTTGTTGCATTTAGTAGAGTATAAAAATAAATGCCTTTAAAATAGGATGCAAGCAACACTAGTTTCTTAACTTAACCTGCATTGATAATAGACTATAACCTTTATTTTTATCTTATACCATTTTGTACAATAATTATAATGAATAAGTTCAAACAAACAAAAACTTACAGCTGATTAATAACGGTATCTAACTTGAGTTTTTATTATATCAAAAACCTGTTGAAATGCTACTGTTATTTTTACTGTCCCCAAAAAGCGCGTCGGCAGCCTCCAGGAATGCTTCTTTCACAACTTTGCCGTCTTTGAAAGACTCGGGCCTGGCGCCACGAGGGGGCAAAAGGGGGCATTGCCCCCTAAGTTGTTTTATTTGCCCCCTCACTTTGAGCATCATTCAGCCATCGAAAAGTTAAATAAATGTCACAATTATTAAATAACTTTAAATAATTATTTTCCCCAACACACGTTACTATATTTAGATCAGATATGTGGGCAGGCAGTCAAGCAACGTGTAAACAAGCCTCAACCCCAAGTGAGCTTGTAGTCTTAATTAATGTTAGCATGTGTGCTTAGCTGTAAACACAGTCGGATGGGGGACCAAAACGTCCCTGTTTTCCGGGCAAAGTCCCCATTTTCGGAATGTGCGTTAAAAAACATAGAGCAAGGTGAAATAAAATGTTACATGTCAGTAAAAACAGAGTAACAGTGTTGTGCCTGTTTGTAGCGTTAGTGTATTCCTTTTTCTAATACTTCTTCTTCTTCTACCTCTACTTCTTCTTCTTCTACCTCTACTTCTTCTTCTTCTACCTCTACTTCTTCTTCTTCTACCTCTACTTCTTCTTCTTCTACCTCTACTTCTTCTTCTTCTACCCATGGATGTATAATAAGAAGCTTCTAATTCAATGTACCTTCCCGCAAAATATTGGACAAAAGAAAGTCGGCTCGTAGTGTCAACTAAATCCATAGTATTAGAACAAAAGTGATTTAAACGAGGTAAATTACGAATGTATGTTCTCAATTGCCAAGTGTGGGATTGAATATTAAATTAGTTTAGATTAGATTTATTGTCCCCAGGGGGAAATTCATTTCCACAGCTCTGTGAAAACAAGATGAAATCGACAAAAAATAAGACAACTACAGATAGCACCACACATGATGCTTACCTGTTATTATTTAGGGCTGCCTGTATGGATCAGGTTTTTGCCAAAGCGAGCCCTTTTACTATAATAATAATATGTTATTATATAAACCGTATTGGTACAATGAGCGACATCTAGTGACGGATTTTTAATCTGTGTCTGTCAATTTGGTGTAGTATTTGATCCAATATTACATTTGGTTTATATATTAGTCACTTTATATATTAGTCATTTTCTTATGGTTTTAGGTCTTGGTTTGAACATTCAATCCTGAAAATAAAAAATCAACCAGATTAATTTGTCTTTAATCCTGACATGACTAGAGTAGATAGTAAGTAAATAAATCTGTATAGGAAGACGAGTTAAGAGATAGAGGAGAAAAGGTTATGGTATAATTACAGAGCCTGTCCATTTATAAATTGAGGAAATCAATGTTAGTCTGTTAACGTGACTAACAAAGTGCAGGCATCTAATAATGTACTATCTATTATTAAAGATCAGAGGAAAAGAACAGAATGAGAGGGGTCAATCCGGAATACAAATAAAGAAGCAAAGAGATTGTAGAGCAGTGAGAATGAAAAAAATGTGGTGTGTCAATTCATTACATTGCCAGTATTTTTCGTTGTTGTGAAAAAAAAGTCGCCCCCTAGGATTTTTGAACAGCCCCCTCAATCATTTCAGCCTGGAAAGACTTCATGTGTTTCGCAAGAACGTGACTGACACGATAAGATGCTCTGGTAGCAGCCTTGCTCTTGTTGTTGGGCCTGGTGAAAATGGACTGCTGTGCATTTAGCTGTCCTTTCAGGCCCCTCCCCTTTTGGAGCGTAGGGCAGAATTAGGAGGGAATTCCGTCTCGTAGCGTTTCGTTTGTGCACTGTTTTGAAATGCCGCTCCTAAATTACCCTTCTTCGATAAAGCCACGCTCGCATTGCAGATGAGACAGATGGACTTTGAATTGGAATAGATACAAAAATAATCATCCTCCCACTCGGAGTGAAAATCATATATGTTAGGCTTTTTTGCTTCTGCCATAATTGCGGTCTTGTGTGTGTGTGGACTGTCACTCCTGTTCAGTGTTGCCAACTCCATAATAAGGAAAGTAGCTATTGGCTGTCCGGAAAGTCGCCAGAAGTCGCTAAATGACGTCATCGCCTAATTTGCATATCATGTAATGGCGGCTGTAGGAGAGAGCATGGTAGAGGGGAGTACAAAAAACGTTCCCAACCCTTCAAGGATCAAATTCTGGACTTCTCCAGGAAAGCATCATGATGTTTAGCTTGTCACAGAGATGTTTAGCTTGTCACAGAGAGGCACACACACAGTGGACGAGGTGATTGAGTGACTGAGGCTGTGTGAGTCAAAGCAAAGCAAAGGCAGTTATTTATTATAGTGTGAAAGTGAGTGAAGAAACATTTACATTTTACATTTAAATCCCGCTCAAAACCAGGACGGCTTGGCAGTTGGCGCATGCGCAATTCATTTGCAGTCTCGACGCGGGGGAGTGTGGTTGTCTCCTCTCTGCTCTGACTGCAGAGCAGCTCTGCTGCGGCCAGGCAACTGTCAGTCTGAGCGCCTGTGAGTACTATGGGAGGGAGGCGGGGCTCACGGCAGCACCCGCGGCTCGTTAACTGCAGAACAATGTGAGTCTCCAAACACCAGAAAAGTCCCTAATAACACCATTATAAATCGTTAGATTAGTCGTTAGTCGCTTTTGACACAAATAAGTAGCCGGAGGGTTTGGAAAGCCGCCAAATTTAACAAGAAAACCGCCAAGTTGGCAACACTGCTCCTGTTGACACGGACAACGTCAGCGAAATACTGCCCACTGCCCACCAGCCACGCCCCCACACATGGGGTCACGCCGGCCAATCACAAAGCTTTGATGCGTTCAAGTGCATTATTCTGGCACAGGAAGATTATGTTATAGGACATTAACGATAAAACAGAATATTGTTGTTCTATTTTTAGACACATATCGCGATCGACTGGGAATCTCCCCGCGATCGACCGGTCAATCGTGATTGACTGGTTGGGCACCCCTGATCTAGACCCACCAGACTCAGGAACAGTTTCATCCCACAGGCCATAAGACTATTAAACACCTGAACTATTTAAAGAACATCCATAACATTCATCTGCTTGCATCGGGCAAATTATTTATCTATCATATTCCATTTACTTGTATTTAGACTCTTCTTGTACTATATCTATTTTATTTGTATTTACTTGCACATCTCAAAACATCCTCTTGCACTATATCTGTTTTATATATATATATATATATTCATGTTGCACTGTTGGAGGAGCCTGTGACTTAAGTGTTTCATTGCCATATCTACACTGTAGCTACTGTGCACATGATAATAAAAGCCTTGAATCTTGAATCATCCTAGCCAAAGTTAGGGGGGGGCAAATCCAGCAGCCATAACACCTGCTCTGCCAGATTTAGAAAGGCCCCTTTAATTAGGGAAGTTAAAACCATGTTGAGCAGAGAGACTCAACAAGTTCCCGTCTTCATGGGGAACAAAAGCTCGAGCATTATCACCAGCTGACAGCCAACTTCACACAAACACACGCCTAGAGCAGCATTTTCAGAACTGTGTCACACATTCAAGGAATTTAAAATAACTCATCACAAGAAGTGTTACATGTAGAAACTGAATATAAAATGAAACATAATTAAACTGTGTGAGGACTGTTTGGCTCTATTGCATCTCCACAACAATGTCATGTTTGTGTGTTTTGGGCCATCAGACGTACACAGGCGATGGCTGGAATTAAGCAAAATCTGCTTTTTGGCTGCTACGACCAAACAAAAAGATCAGACAATTTGATCCACTATAATCAGGAAGTCTGGATACGTCTTAAAACAGCCAGCAATGATGAAACCTTCTGATACAAACAAACTCAGCCTAGTTTATCTTTGTCCAAAAAGATTATCACACTCTGTAGACTTCAATACCTTCACTTCACCACAAGAGGGCGCTTTTAAAACTTGTGGCTACTTCACGTGGGGCAGAGAGAAATCAACCAAACATCGGAAATAATGCAGCCTGGTGATTACTGATAACAAATGACAGATTGAAAGAGAAACGACTTCCCATTCAAAACAATGGTATTGGTTTGTATTCCTGGTAAAAGTGCTGAGTGCTAGGAGTCATGTCCACTTCTACTTCTTGGGTGAATTATTTTAATTAATAAATATGCAGATGTTGGATAAAATGGGATGTCCGGTTACCACACACTTGACTATCAGTGTAATCTGATCCGTGTTTACAGCAGATGTCGTGCCAGTGCTCAGTGAGTTGTGTCATTCAGCGTTTGTGGTGGCCAACAATCACACCATGTTCCTCTTTGCAAATTATACTTTTTTCTGTGTTTGCCTCGAGCTGTCATCCTTTTCTGAGACTTGTCTGGCGTTTCCACAATTCATATGTTTACAGTGTTGTCGACTAAAGCACCAGCAACCGGACATCGAAGGATGTACCTCCCTGTAACTGTGAGTTTCCTTAATATTTACTTAAAAGCTTGTTTTTTTAATAAGTTGTTAATTGTTGCAAAGAAAAAGCTATTACATGCCAGTTTAACTTGGCGTACTTCAGTTTGTATTTAGTAGCTCAGTATTATCCTAATTTTCTGCTGCATTGACTCATATTTGCATTCTTACGTTGTATTGTAAAGTGTTATTATTTTGTCCACCCCTTGTAGTTATGAAAAATGAAAACTTGCAGCAAGTCCCCTGCAATGCTCCTGATTTACATCATGTTACTCCCAGGTAAGACAAACATGTTTGACATTTTTAAACCATATTACAGCCTAATACTGAGAGGATTATATGTATTATAAATCAATTGAAAAGTTTGTTTTAGAGAATCATTTCTTAAACTTCCTCTTCCAAACTGAATTTGCCTAGTTTTACAATCATATACAGCTTCTCTAAAATACTCTGTGGTGCGAACAGATGCTTTTGTAAAGTGGTGTTGAATCTGTGTCTGAAAAAAGGGTGGCTCGAGTAATTATGAAAAAAAACTTTACAATGTTGATAGAGATAACAAGACAGCACACTCTTGCCAGCGTATCATGTTCTGTTTTAGCAGCACAATACTTCTGTCCGAAAATAAAATGTAAATACAGTACTTTTACTTATTTACTTTCTTCCACTGAACATCATCGTAGTCTTCTGAGACTCTGTCTAGAACATGTGTGGACACAGGGAGCAGTTTTAATTAAAGAGGACTTATTATGCTAATTTCCAGGTTCATATTTGTATTTTGTGTTCAAAAAGCTCTTTATTGTTCTCGTGCTGCAGCACCTCTTTTCACCCTCTGTCTGAAACCAGAGCCCAGTCTGCTCTGATTGGTTAGCTGGCCGGCTCTGTTGTGATTGGTCAACTTCTTAGAGATGTCCCGCCCCTTAGCCTATAACATACAATGTGTTGAAGCGCTAGCCAATAGAAGCACAAGTGTTTCTATTGGCTAAAAAGACCACACTTGTGCCACATACAAAACGTTAGGAAAGAGAAAGAAAACCACAAAAGCATAATAAGGCCTCTCAAAAGATAATTGTGTTTTGAAATGAACAAAATCATGTTGTTATAAATGTTATAAAAAGGACTCCATGTGTGTTTAAAATCATCTTGTTTTTGTTTTTTTATAAAACAATAATAAACGGCCATCTTTTCACATTACTTTTTGTTGCAGTTCTTGAGGCACAAGAACTCAAAATGCAGCCTGAAGTGACGGGATACCTCGGAGAGGAGGTCACCCTGCGATGCCAATTCATCCCGGGACCAAAAGATGACATCATCTCTCAGGTTGAGTGGGAGCTGAAGACACCAGCAGGAGAGGAAATCACCATCATTGTTTCTAGTGTGGTGTCAGGCATTAGTGTCCACAACAGTTCTCTGAAGGAGAGAGTGAAGATTGCAGAACAATCTTTGATAATTGGATATGTGGAAAAGGGAGATGCAGGGTGGTACACCTGCAGCGTTGCAGCCTTTCCCAGCGGATCATTTGAAGGAACCACCCAACTTATTGTTCAAGGTGAGTAAGAAAAGCATTCTTGATGAAAAATCTTATTTCTGATAAAAAAATGTGTTTCCAGTTTAATATAAATGTGTTTAACCCCACTGCTAAGACTGGAAATTGCATCCCCTACCATACTTTAAAACCATGAAAGGACAACACTTATGCAACATTACGATATATCTCGTCACATATTACAATATGGGTATATTTTTCCCCAACCATTTTTCCTTGAGTAAATACTTGAAGTGGGATCAGTTGCCTTGTTGTCCATCAACTATTTAAAATGTAAACCATAATGATAAATGGATTGGGATTATATAAACAGTGATGGTTAATCAAAGTCATGTTTCTTCTCTCAGAACAGAAGCCGCTATCTGCAGGGACGGTGTCTGCTATAGTGATCGCCGTCATGCTGCTGTTAGGCATCGTGGCTGCCATTGTTTACTTCATCTTCATCAGAAAGTGAGTATTAACCATAGACTGTATATATAAACCCATTATTAACCGTATTAACCCATAACCAAGACTCTTCTGTTCCAAATGGATCTGAATGTCTTTGTTCAATGGCTGACATGCATTGATCAAAACTCTTTCACTCACTGAAAATGCCTTCAATGTTTCCATGAAGACCTTTGTCATTCATACTCCTCCATCTGCAAAACACTATAGCCTACATACATGTATGTAGCACATTTTCAAAAACTCTGCAAACTACACTAACAATTGTATACATTTCAGCAGTAACTACATTAAGATATATGGATATTCTAGCATACAATGAAAATGCAAGCACAGTTTTTAATGAGATTTATTTCCAGTGTTTCCATTTTGAAACATGTTTGAATAGTTTTGTGTTTTTTTTGTAGTTTTGAAGGTAAAAACAAAAATCACTATATGGCCAAAGTGCATGCTGGTAAGAGCTTTAAAAAGACAGTTTGTTGGCAATCAAAAAAACAGTAATGCATACTTTTAACACTTATTAACATTTAGTCCAGCACATTACAGTAATACTGTGAAGCAGAAAGGTATATGTTACAGTATTACTGTAATGTGCTGGACTAAAGAGGAAGTCCTTTTAATTCTATATACCAGTGGTTCTCAAACTTTTTCTGTCAGGCCCCCCCTTTGGAGAAAAAAGAAAGTCGGGCCCCCCCAACACAAATAGTCAGGCTCAGTGGCGGCGCCAGACATTTATTTTGGGGGTGCTGTGGGGTAGCTTGACGTTTCATAGAGGGTGCTCAAACATTTAGGGTTTCCCATTAATGTACCGGTCGCTACAGTGGAGTGTTCTACTGCAACACTCCCCACGCAAACACACAGTGTGACAGTTACAATGAAGGCTCGATAATCAGCTCACGGCATATAGGTGTAAGCAGGGGTAAAGTGCTATTTTTATAGGTGGTGTGTGGACCTCACATAGGGGGGTCCGGGGCAAGCTCCCCCGGGAAGATTTTTAAATATTGAAGTTAAAAGCATCAATCTGGTGCACTTTGAGAGCAAAATGAAGAGATCTATGGATACCTCTTTCAACACCCATTTGAAACAGAACTGTAAACAGATTTACTTTTTCTTTATGGATATTTTACAAATCACCCTTTTAAACTTTATTCTTGTTTTACTGTTATATAGTATTTCATACCTGTTTTTCCTTTATTCTCTTATTTTTTTATAACTATAATGATCAAATAAATGTGTGCCTCGGAAATAATTGTTTACATTAATGGTGACCAAAACATTTGAGACCCACTGAGATAACACTGAGAGAGTCCTTTAGCTCACTGAGTCTCTCAGTCTGACAGGAGAGGACTCTCCTCCACTTTGTTGTTGAAAAAACTCCTTATATCCGTTAGCGTAGCTCGCTAGCACCAGAAGCTAACAACAACGATCTCCGGTACGCTCTCTCTCTCGCGCACACAAAATGGCCACACACACACACACACACACACACACACACACACACACACACACACACACACACACACACACACACACACACACACACACACACACACACACACACACACACTAATGAAACACAGAGACCCAGACGTAATAGTACTGTATCATATTATTTTCAAATCAATAATTTTTCAAATTATGATTTTTTTTTTTTTATCTTTTTTTTTAAATTTTTATATTATAACCATTTTTTCTCCTGGTCTCTCGCGCCCCCCCCTGGCATGCCTCTGCGCCCGCCACTTTGAGAACCACTGCTATATACACATGCAAAGTAGACTGGCAGTTGGTAAATTACAAGGGAAAACCCAACACTTTGCATAAGTATGCATCACTTAGCATCATGTACTTATTTTCAGTTGAATTTCAGGGTTGTTTAGGTTCGGTCATTTTCAATATTGTTCCATAAATGTACCTTATCGTCCTCAAGTCTTTTTTTTATATGAATTTGTACAGAATTAAGCTTACATTAGGATTACGTTTATTTTATATTCAGTATATTGGAAAACATTAAAAATGTGCTATTTGTCAGTTTGTTGTTGCTTTATTTAATTTTGAGGAATAAGAAAGAAAAGTCCCTTCTGATGCAGAAAACTAACCGCAGACATTTGTATTCCTTTAAATCAGACGTGATCAGAAGGTCATACACCGTGTCTACATTGGTGAGAACGAAAGCCCACTTCACCACACTTTGATTTATTTAAATTTGTTTCAGTTCTCTCGACTAAACCGCCTCTGTCTTTGCAGATACAGACGGTCCGGTGATGGATGTGTCGCGGCAATCTGTTCTCAAAAGAGACGTGGTGAGCTAGTGTCTAAATTTAGGTTGAATAAGTTCCACTCAGATTACATTAAACAAAGCAACACAAACAACCAAGTCACTCTCTCTTTCACTACCTCTTAGGATGTGGTGTACTCTGACGTCAGGCTGAAAACATTCAGAGATGCTCCGCCCGACGAGGAGCACACGGCGGACGACGTCACGTACGCCGAGGTCGTAGTTGTGCGCCATCAGCTCCAATGAACACGAGATGGATGTCTTTCTTCTACTTGCAATAATCTGAAAGATGCTGGATACAAGTTGTATTTATATATTTATATCAGCTTCTAAAGTAAAACCTGCTCCATGGCTTCAAATCATCCTCTCATTTTCCACTTTAGCCTCAAAGCAGGCGATGTAGTTTAAAGGAAATGTAGTACGTTTTTCTCTGATAGGAACCTTTTCTCTATGTGGAGATATTAAGTGATGAAAAGATCAGTATTTTAAAGTAGCCGGGGTTGTATCATTTACCCGACACTAGCGAAACATTACCGTCTTTTGTGGTTCACCTAGCTTTTAAAGTATAATAAATAAACTCTGTTACAAGCTACACATCATATGGAGAAAGCCAAATATCCTTCACAGAAGTGCCTTGTTACCACATTTCCATCAAAATCTGCCATTTCCCTTCAGTTGCGTCTGTCTTGGCCCTGTACCCGAGTTAACCGTGCTCTTAAAGAGGCGCTATGCTTTATGGGGTTTCCCTTTCCTGTAGCGTGTTATAAAGCGTGCATGTAAATGGTCTGCAGAGCCTAAAATCCCTGTTTTCCCTCCAGACGGAGTTTCTCTCCAACTGCCTCCATTGGACTCCTTTGTTTACTTCAGTGACATCACCATGTAACAGTTGCATACCGATTAGCTTACGCACCAGCACATTGTACGTGATAAGCTAAGGGGCGGGACAATATCTAAGCAGTTAACCAAACACAACAGAGCCGGCCATCGGACCAATCAGAGCAGACTGGGCTCTGGTTTCAGACAGAGGGTGAAAAGAGGTGCTGCAGCACAGGCAGTATGAGGAAAATAAAGAGCTTTTTGAACATTAAAGCGTGGAGACATAAAATACATAAATACATAAATACATAAAATACACATATGAAACCTCTAAATTAGCATAACAGGCCCCTTTAATGTGTATGTATTTAATAGAAGCAAAATGTTGGATTCTCTCCCTCTTGCAAATCAAGTGTTGCTCAAAAAGAATAATTATTTTGAAATTTAAACTCCACTAATATTATTTTGTCGACATGTTTCCTGCCATTTGGTTTCATATATATATATAACAGGTAGGAATGGTAGAAACCAGCATGTCAGCGAGGTAAATAACGTTTTACTTTGCCGTGCCGCACAGTAGAGAAACACTCAAACTGTGCCGAGTCGGCTACAGCAGTCACGGTAGATTTCATTACACAAAGTTCCTATTCCACCTTTTGGTGACCATCAAAGACGGAAGACAAAAACAGGAAGAAAAAAAGTGGAGAATTACACAATAAAAAAAGGAGAACCAACACAGACACACTGGTGCGTCTGGTGGTTGCTTGTTTCAGCAAAATAATTTACTTTTAAAATGGCATTTCTTTGGGATTCACCTTAATTGACGTCGTAATGTTTAGATACTATGTGTGCCTCTTGCTTTAATCCAGTGACGAGCCAGTGTTGCTATGAATCAGAGAGGAAGGCTGCATTATTTTCTTAATGCTGCCCATTTTACAAACCAAGAATATAATTTAAAGAACATTTGCTTGATATATTCAAATTGCACAGATACTGATAACACTTGTTTTACTAACCCCGCCCAGTATTCTGTCTGCTGAGATTTTGAATGTGAGGATGCTGTTCACAGATGTAGCAGACTTTGCAGGCGTTTTGTAAGAAGGTGACAAAACTATGGTTTGAAAAATGTCTGTACTGATTCACACCATCACTGAGCATCTCCAACCGTCACTATGGGAACATGCCGAGTGATCAGCTGCACTTCCTGACTCATTTTTTGGGTGTGAGATTGCTCGTTCTTACAAAACATGTGAAAACAGAACCAGTTGTTTGTAGTGTGTGAGAAAAAGGGCTTGTTTAACTGTTCAGTGTTGTTCCATTTAGTTTACATTGAAAGGGATTGCACCTTAAGAACAGTCAGTGTAATGCATTGCCTTTTGCAGGTAACAATGTAGAGGAACAGGGCAACAGTTCTGTGAATTGTCTCTCTTAGTTTTTACCGTTTGATAAACCTGTAAATGTTCAGACTTCATAAAAGGAAGTGGTTTTTCATTTTTTTGTGATGTACAAAATTCTGTTATGGCAGGAAACAGATAAGACAGTAAGATAGGGAGTGCGTTATGAAAGTATTTCCACAGCAGTCATCATATTTCTTAAGATAAAAACACATGCAGCCACGTCGCAAAGTCTAATAATTGACAATGTGGAAGGAATAACGTGCAGTTTGATGCTTTCTTGCTTAAAAAAAAGGTATTTTATCCAAATGCTCTTTGGGGTCAATAGTCTAATTCTGTGGTTGTCTTAACGGTCGCGTCACTTCTCTCTATGATCGTTTTTTTGTCATATTCTCATCTCCCTTTCGACTGGTCTGCACTTGTTGATGAAACTGATATTGATGAAACTGATTTGCTCGACTGTCTCTCCAATTGTAATGATTGTAATGGTTGTATGTATTACTTGAACTTTACTTAACAGGCTGTACGTGGTTTGTCTTGTGTGTCATGTTTTGTCTTTTTGTTTATGTATGTCTGTAAGTTGTTGCTATTGTCGGGACCCCCCTTGAAAACGAGATGGTGCATCTCAAGGGGTTTATCCCAATAAATAAAATGTCTATATATAGAGACAGCAATAAATGTTTAATGTTGTCATTTTGAAGTGCCTGTGTGTGTGGGGCTTCATGATAAGGACTTGACATTCTGTATGTTGTGATTGTTGAGAAAATAAACTGATTTAGAGAGTCTTAATGTGAGACTTTAGGCCATGATGTGTTAAAATGATCGTGTGTGTGCATGCAAGGGTTCTGTGAATACGGTGCATGTGTTAAATGGGTAATAATAAACTTTAACACAGTAACGGTAGAGACATGTTCATTGTTCATATTATTAGCTTAAAGAACATTTGCACATTTGAAAGGTTGACTAGATTATATATTACAATGTTTTTTCATTGGTGTCTATATACGCCGGGAGTCATGGATGATCCTGCGGTCCTGTGTCCTGGATCTTGAGTCGTGGCTGTGGTCCTGGATCATAGGTCCTGGATGGATATCCTTGTGGATTCATCTTCCTATTATACACATGCATTTCCAAACATTTGGACTACCTATGTTGCAAATGTATTATCTTTTCAATTTACACACGGCATCTGCACGTCTGTCCGTCCTGGGAGAGGGATCCCTCCTCTGTTGCTCTCCCTGAGGTTTCTCCCATTTCCCCTTTAAACTGTGGGTTTTCTCCGGAAGTTTTTCCTTGTACGATGTGAGGGTCTACTCTAAGGACAGAGGGTGTCGTATTGTCATACTGATATTCTGTACACACTGTGAAGTCCACTGAGACAAATGTAACATTTGTGATATTGGGCTATATAAATAAACATTGATTGATTGATTGATTGATTGACCTATAAATAAAATCAGATCCTGCAGACCTAAAACTTCAATAAAACATGCATTTAAAGATTATCATTTACATTTGAAATGATACTCTTTGTGATAACTTTTCCCTTTAAAATTTGACCTGAGCTCATTTCACAGGACACTTTATATAAAGCTTAAGGAAATGGACTCCCATCTATAATTGGGTTTAAGGAAGCACCACCCAGATAAAGGCAAGATAATTGTAAATGTTTGGGGAATAAAACGCAGAGATTGTTTCTAATGATGAAGATGGAAGAGTTGAGGAACTTGTTTAACTTTGACATTCTGGTCTGACTGACCCGAGAGAGTCCATTCTTAAAAAATAACCAAACAGAAAGGAAAGATTTGTAATTTCACTTTAATTCATACACCTTGTCCTTTAATTAAAAAACACACACGAGCTCTCCTCTGCACATTATCAGAATGTCTCCACATGAGGTCACTGTGCTACTGAAGGTTACAGCAGGAGGGAGGAACCAGGACATCTCTTAAATTAAACTGCAGTAAGAAGAAGACAAAGCATAGATCACACATCCCGTTTCTGTCACTTTGTTGGTGTGCACAATGACTTCCAGCAGACCCCTCCTCGTTCTTCTGTGGTTCATTCACGTGACAATCCCAGGTAAGAGACGGTTTTACACATTTGAGTACAAATACTGGTTTTAAAGCTTTTGAAGGTACAACCACAACCACATCTTTGATTTTGACAATCTCTATAACCGGTGTTCATTTTTACATGTAAGAACAGGAAGGGCGGTTCAAAGTTAACATTCAGTAAAATAGCACCATTTTTGGATATCTCTGTTTAAAAGTAGCAAAAACGTAATATCTAACAAAGCAGCATAATGAAGGTGAAGCAACAAGTGTAAGGTTTCATACGAGGAAACCGCATGGCTCCTTTGTGTTAGAATTATTTTTTAAGTAAAATCTAAATCTTAAAATAACTTCAACTGTCAGGTGAATTATGTAAGAAGTACAACTTTCCCATCTATTATCTTTAATCAAATGTATTTACTTTCCTGCAGTTTAAAAAAAGATATACTCTTTTACTTAAAGTGTAAAAAAAAATGAATTTTTAAAAATATAAAAGTACAAAGATGTTGGCATTAAAGTAATTTATAGTAAAAGTATGTGTTGTGCAGTCTGGCCCCATTTCAGAATAATATAATAAATACTGGATTTTGAATATTGATGCATGAAAGTCAGATCTGATAAACGTTGTTTTAATTACTTTGAACTTTTGAAGGATAATTTTGTTATTGATTTATATTTTTGTATTAGCTAAGTATAAAGATGGTCTTAGTCCAAACCAGGTGGGAGAAGAGCCACTTCACAGCCTTGCTCAATCTTGGCATCATGTCTGGTGTGACTCCACAGCACCATGGTATCTACATGTTGTTTGGACATAATAAAAACTCAGCTCTTTTATGAGAGGCAACTTTTCAATTAATTATAAAAGGATCATTTATAAATTGCTTGTTGCGTACACTGTAAATGATCAACAACAGTTCTGGTAAGGTAAACCTTTTAGAGGCATAATTATAGTAACCTAGTATTACCCTAACTTTATTCACAGGTTTTGTTTGGTTTACGAGCTGAAGGTAATTTAGAAATAACTTAAAACTAAAACAGTCTCTTCTTCACGTCCAGATAAACTGTTTATGAGCTTCCTCAGAGAGAACATAGCTTACTTTTTCTGCTGCAGATTTGTGTTGTGAATGATTTCTAAAGTGGGTCCATCTCTCTGTCTCTCTCCAGGTTTAACTGAAGGAGCTGGTGTGCTGCCAGACGGTCTGAATGCAGCTGTGGGAGGGAAAGTGATGTTCACCACAACACCAACTCCAGGAACAACTTTTCAATCAGTGAACTGGAAATTTGGTGCTAAAGATATATTTACTTGGAATGTTAACAACTTCCCTGCACTAGGGTATGAAGACAGGATCACCTTCTTCTTGTCTACTGGATCTCTGGAGCTCAGGAACCTGGCTCTAACTGACAGTGGAGAATACTCAGTTACCATTGTACCACCAGGAGAACGACCACAGCCAGGGAACACCAGACTGGACGTATACGGTGAGAAAGTTTCACATGTTGCATATCTTTCTCTGCTGAATGAAGATGCTGTGTAGCGATTGAGCAAGTAAACAATGATATAGGGCCCTTTATTCTTTTCACCATCATCAAATAAAAATGTATGAAATGTTGCTTTTTTTCGTGGATGGAGCTTGTAAAAACGTTCAATGTGGAACAATTAATAATCATGCACTTCAGTGTTTTCTTCTATTGTAACTTTATAACATATGTTTTGTGTTTCACCCACAGAGCCAGTCTCCAATGTAATGGTAACCTCCAGCAGCACAGAGCTGGCGGAGTTCAGCTCTGTCAGTCTGTCCTGCTCCTCCTCTGGATCCTCTCTCTCTTTCCTCTGGCTGAACAGCAGCTCTGAGGTTACGGGAAGTGACAGAGTTCAGATCACTGATGGAGGATCCACTTTAACTATAGTTAATGTGACGCGCTACGACCAGGGACCATTCAGGTGCCGTGTATCTAATCCTGTCAGTGAGGGAACCAGTGATCCAGTAACCCTCACCATCAACTGTGAGTAATTCATATGTGCATACATTTCATTCTGCACATTGCTTTAAAGATGATGGTATTATGAGGCTTCACACTGAGTACATTGTACCAACTGGAGCGGGACTATAGACAGGGACCACAATACTGAACATAAAAGGTGAGGGAACTTTTCAAACGTTGCGTCTCGTTTAGTGTTTAAAAAATATATATACTCTTTTACATAAAGTGTAAGAAAAATATTTTTGAAGAAAAATAAAAGTACAAACATGTTGGCATTAAAATAAACTTAAGTAATTTATAGTAAAAGTATTTGTTATGCAGTCTGGCCCATTTCAGAATAATATAATAATACTGGATTTTGAATATTGATGCATGAAAGTGTCAGATCTGATAAAGGTTGTTTTAATTACTTTATACAAACTGTTGAAGGATAATTTAACCTATAACTGCATTACATGTTTTTATTGATTTATATTTTGTATTAGCTAATAAAGTAAATAAAGCTGTCAATTAAATTTAGTGGAGCCATCAGGGGAGCCATCAATAAATAAAAACGGTGTTGAAAAACATGTTACAAAGGAAGAATTCCATATATGTCGTAAAAAGGGGAAATCTAAAAAAAGTAAATTGCCATTATTTCACAATATTTTTGTTGCAGTTCTTGAGGCACAGCAACTCAAAATGGAGCCTGAAGTGACGGGATACCTCGGAGAGGAGGTCACCCTGCGATACCAATTCATCCCGGGACCAAAAGATGACATCATCTCTCAGGTTCAGTGGAAGCTGAAGACACCAGAAGGAGAGGAAATCACCATCATTGTTTCTAGAGGTGAATCAGGAGTTAGTGTCCCAGAAACATTTCTGAAGGGGAGAGTGAAGATTGCAGAACAATCTTTGATAATTGAAGATGTTGAAATGAGAGATGCAGGGTCGTACATCTGCAGCGTTACAGCTTTTCCCAGCGGAGCATTTGAAGGAACCACCAAACTTGTTGTTAAAGGTGAGTAAGTAATACTCTATAATATCTGAACTCTGACCCTCAACTCACAAGCAGAAAAACTAAAAGGATAAATGATCAGAATGGGGTTTGGGTTAAAAGGCAGACAGGGAGAGGCCATCCAGGTGGTGCAAAGGCAGGCACACATTTCTAAGTAAGCGTGGGTGATGATAGCCGCCGGAAAAACAGGAACAGGCTACGGCAGGAAGACAACATTTTCAAGATCCAAATCTATACTACCACCATATTTAGTAGGGCTGTGCATCTTCACTGGTCTCACGATTCGATTACGATTATCCTGTCAACGATTCGATTCAATATCCCGATGCATCACGATTCATACCAATGCGTTGCATCCTCAATTTTCTATATTACTGCACATGGCTTATTTTTCATCAATGCATACATGCAGTAAATACATATGAACTCTCTTTTTATTATTTAGATAGTGCTTCAGAAATCAATAACATAAATGTCTTGACATTCATTTATAAACCAAAAATAAATGAATTATATAGGTCTAGCCTCCCTATATCTGTGTGTGAAGTTGTTCCATCCTCAAAAACAAAAAAATAATGCTTCTGCAGTCTAGCTGCAGCTTCTAGCAACGGTCTTCTGTTAAAAAAAAGGACACTGAATGTCCTGAATGTGGCATCACACACAGGACTTGAGTCTGAACACAGCAGGCAACAGGAGTATTTACAACAGCATATAACAACTAAAATACTGCATGTGGGTGCACACGTACATTCTCTGTCTTACTGTTACATAAATACCATGAATGTATGAGATTAAGTTAGCTTCATTATATCTCAGTGATTAAGTGAATAATAAAGTTTCTATCGGGTCACTATCAGCCTGTCACTCATTATTTTCAGGGAGGGGGCGGGGCTTAGAAGAACAGAGGAGACGGTGATCGCCGAAGCTTTTTTCCTCCTGCCTTCACAAACTTTACACACGTATATATTGTCTGAAAATCGCTAGAGGACATTCATACTCTGCAATCCAAGACTTAATTAAATCCACCAAAAACCTGACATGATTGTAACGCGATTATTTTTGAAAAACATAAATCCCTGTGCCGCAGCGACACGGAGTGATTCAGAGCGGGTCCTTCTGCTGTTGGTTCTGGACTGGTGTTCTTGTGTTGATGGATAAAGCAGACTGCTCCGTGTTTGGTGATGCTGTGCCGCTGTCACGTCTGTTCCCTGATCTCTGCGTCACCGACCGATTTGATATTAAAGTGACAGAAAAAAAAAACTTTATAGTAAAGCCGCGGCCGGAAAATCAGGAAGCAACGTTACTACGCTATAACCGATTATCTTCCGTCACTGCATCGAGACCGAATCGTCCACGTCCGCATCGCAGAAACGATTATTTTCAACACCCCTAATATTTAGTAAACCACACGTAAGATGAAGTAAGTCCAAATACACAGCAAAGAAAAAGAATATGCCAAAAGAAAAAGAAAACAGGATGTCTTGCATTTTGCCAATTTTAGAGAATAATAGATTACAAGCAACAGGATTGAAGCATGTCACAGTAGAGGCACGAAATACAAATATCATCCTTACATTTAGAATAATAGAGCCCATTTAATTGCATCCAACAGCACATTGTTAGGGCAGCGGCAGTACTGTATGTAGGTGACAAAATCCACCTGCCAGCACCTTGAAAGCTCACCAATTAAACATTATACCTTTTTCCAAACCATTCCTTTAAAATATCACTGAATAAACAGTTTGCATTGTTGAAAGTTAATCATACTTGTGTTTCTTTTTGCAGAAGGGCTGGGTGCAGAAGGGCTGGGTTCAGAAGGGCTGCACATATTAGCAAAAATAATCACTGCAGGATTATTTGTGCTGATAGTAGGCACCATGCTGGCCACCACTCTCTTCATCATCAGAAAAAGGTGTGTGTGTTGTATATATTATGTAGGAGTATACAACATGAGGTGTTGAAACGTTCTCCATGACTAAGAGCGAGGTTTACAACATGAGGTATAGCGAGTAAATCAGCATTAAAGTAAGAAAGAATAACACCTTTATCCTCTACAGTCGTACTGAAGACTATATTAAACTCGCTGTACTCAGTCAAACTCAGGAGAAGCTGCCATTCAGGGGTTTATCAAAGCACAAACTTTAATTCATCAGCTCTTAAAAGAAGTGGAAGAAAATACCCTTTAAAAATCAGGAAGTAAGATCGTGACAACTGATAACTATTAATTGCACAGAGAAGAGGTTTTGCAATGCATCTGCACTGGTGAACAAAACAAAAGCCACTACTTCCTATTTGTATTTCTAAAGAGCAACTTTTTAAAAAAGGTTATTTCTCAGAGTTACAGTTCCTTGTTTGTCTGTCTTTCAGATACGGTCCAGTGCCAAGTGACTGAACGAGAGGAGGTGAGCTGGGAGATGGTTTCAGGCCACATCTTTAAATTGCCAAATAAATGTTTGGATTAGTTTGAACATTTACCCCAAAAAAAGCATTAAGTTATTTGCCTAAAGAAGTTAATGCAAATAACAAAAGCAAGGTCCTTAAAAAACACATAAGTGTGTTCTACTCTGATGTCAGGCTCAAAGTATGCACGGATGTCAGTCAACATACAAAGACTGAAAAGTGTTTCAAAGTCATAATATAGATGTCTTTTACAATTGGACACTATAACTTAAATGATTTTGTAATCATTCAGCAAACTTATCACATCCTCCCATCAGTAAGTTAACTGCTCCTGAAAGTACAAGTCCATGTTATTCTATATTTTTTTGACAAATCCCATAAAAAGGCAAAAAAACAGAGCTTTTTTTGCAAACTCAAACATGATTTAACGCTGCATTGGTTGGTGAAATATTTGCAGCTGTGGATTAATACAAATAAGGCAGATTTTACTGCTGCATTTCGGTGTGTGAGTACTCAAAATATGGTACCACTTTACAATAAGATTACCCTTATAAAAGGGTTTACAAATAGTTTGTAATTCATTTATTAATTAGGTTGTGAACACTTTATAAATAATTAATAAGCTTTTACGAGACATGAGATAAACAGGGCGACTGTGACCGGTTGCTTGCCAAATAGAGTCCACATTTATCTGTACTGCTAAGCCTTATATTGGCTACCTAGCTTACTTCGTCATCAGCCAGCATCCTTGGTATCTGTTGCTCACTGAGTTGATTCTCTCCGAGTAGCCAATATAAGGCTTAGTCATCTTGCCAAATAGTGAGCCTGTGTTGATGCATGCAAACAATGTTAGAACTGGTTTATAAAGTGGTACCGAAAATACTGTGTGTGTATATATATATATATATATACTGTATGACTCAAACTAAACAATGCAAATGCTCATTATATTCACCTACGTTAGTGCCACCTTTCTTTCTTTTTTAAACATCAGAAATGTGATCGTCAATCTTCTCAAGGTTGCTACACAGCTGCAAAATATCATCACTGAATTTACAAAATAAATGTTAAACTAGTGTTTACTGATGTGATATGTTGCATAGGTGGGATACTAATAACCTTTCAAAGACAAGTTACTGTGCAAAGACTTCAAGCCAAGATATAAGGCTAACAAATAACAATAATTCAATAAGAATAGACCAATACATTTATACATTAGGTTTAAACAATAATGCTCTAAAACACTAAGTAATAACAAGAAAAGTTCAAGAGGTGCATTTCTAAATGTTAAAGATATAAACATCGGATTAGAGATGGCCTACCTGCTATCTCCAGTCTGATGGTGTCATGGAGACGAGGCAGCGGCAACAGTTTCATGATTACTTTCCAAAATACAAACGTTTACAGGAAGAAAGTTCAAACGGATAATCCTCAGGTAGGCTAACTGCAGTGGGGCAGGAAACTTCAGGGGAAGCAAAGCAAAGACAGCATTTAACAACATTTACAGGGTGAGAGGCTGGTCCTGCAGGGCTGATCAGGTAAAGTGGAAACAGGTGAGCAGGTTACGTCATTTACCGGACGGGACGCTGAGCAAGCGCTCTCACTGCGCATGCTCAGACTTCACTCAACACTCTGGCCCAATCCCAAACCACTCCCTCGACCCTACCCCTCCGTGACGGAGTGAACTCCGTCCGTAGCCACACTCGCAGCTCAACGAGGCTCCCTCCTGTCAGATGGAGGGAGTAAATACAGCAGCAAGCTTTGGGACGGCCTCCCTCTCTCCGGCAGAAACAGGAAATGCCGTAACTGTATGTAACAACGGTTTCAAATCAGCATCTCTTAAACAAAAAGTTTAAATGAATAACTCAAATAAAACTCCAAACATCTTTCATTGTGTTTCAAAGCTCTTTTAGTTTTAAACCTGATGTTTATAAGCTTCTTAGTTTTTGCAACAGTCTGTAAATGTACACAACTTTATAATAAAATGCACACATTTACCTTTTTCTAGACTAAACACAGGTACGATCCTAAGTTAAAAACATATGAGGTTATCATGAGGTTGTTAACATCGCAATTTATCAGTGGATGTTTGCTGGAACTACTTGTAAACAGCGTGTTTCCTGACGGACACATACAGCGTGACTCCGGTCAGGAAGAGACCGGTCTCAAGTCAGCACCGCTGCAGACTCGCTGTTTGAGGGCTTGATAGCCCACTCCCCCTCCACACTCGTTGCTTTGGAACAGCCCTCAATATGGCGGACCCTCCGCGTGAACGCGCAAACTTAGTTTGTGGTGCGATATTTAATTTTAAATTAAGGCATAATTCAGCAGTCAAAACTGTCAAATGGTGTTGATAAAGTACAAACTAAGCTTACACAAAACAAAAAAGATAAAACTTCAAACTAATAATGTATTTTGTTTAATATTTGTGTTACTCTGAGCTGTCATGAGATAATGGGAGAAAACACACATCAGATGTTTGCTTTGTAACACATTATAAAAGGCTCATTTAGTATTTCTGATTCGCCTTGTTGTTTTCAATTTGTAATGTTGATTGCAACAACCATCTGTGCTGTCGGAACGTGAAAAAACTAACATAAGGATTCATATTACATTGTTTACTTTGTTGTGCTGTGACATCTGTTTTCTGTTTAAATTAAGTGTCTAAAATGTGTTCATGCTTTTGAGATCATTACTGTAAGTTATGTTGCCGGTTTATGAAATGATGCTTTGGAGCAGAAGTACAGAAACAACATTTCTGTAAATGCTCTCTACTTGCTTTAAAGCAGAACTTGTTGTTGTGAGTGTCTCTTGCTTAATAAAGGTCAGCATCTTTACAGACCTTACCAAATGTGTTCTTGATTACTAAAGAGTTATTTCATGATAGAAAATGTATGAGAAACAAACACCATTCAAAGGAAGTGTGAGCTCTTTTTGCAGAATGAGCACTTTTACTTTTGTTACTTTTAAGTAGTTTTTTCTGTACTTCTACTTAAAGGGGCCCTTTTATGCTCACTTTTAGAGTTCATATCAGTATGTAGTGTCTCTACATGTCTCCATGCTTTAATGTTCAAAAAGCTCTTTATTTTTCTCATACTGCCTGTGCTGCAGCACCTCTTTTCACCCTCTGTCTGAAACCAGAGCCCAGTCTGCTTTGATTGGTTAGCTGGCCGGCTCTGCTCTGATTGGTCAACTGCCTCGAGATGTCCCGCCCCTCAGTTTATCACGTACAACGGGGATCACCAACTACATTTGTCCAAGGGCCCACATTATTCCTAGAGACACTTTCGGGGGCCAGCTATTTTTATATAGCGCTGCATTTTGAAGTTGTTGACCAGGGAGGGGGTTGGGGTGCTAGTGGAGCACGCTCATGTATTTTCAAGATGCCGGAGTAGCGGAGGCTACTGCGGAGCGCATAAAGCCATGGATGTATAATAAGAACTGGATACAGCGTGGGAGGCGGGGCCTCATTCATTCCTATGAGAGTTGCTCATTGGCGCATGGATGACAAAATGGCCCAACTTTTGAGAGAGTGAAACGTCACAGATTACCCAGCATGCCTGAGAAGTACCCGTATGTGCGCTCATAGAGCATGCGCAACTTTAACCACGCCCCCCAAAAGGCTCGTTCACATCACAAGCACGTCAATTTACGTACACGTAACAGCACTGCGCGTTATGGATTGTTATGATGGATTTGATATTAACGAATAACGAGGCGGCTGCCGCAGTTAGCAGCTAGCAGCTAGCGGCTAGCTAGTGTAACGTCCGAGCCATTAGTAATTATGCTAATGTACACATACATCGTTATGTACTTTTATATTACGCTGATGTAACACGATCTAGTGATGGTTTTGTTCAGCATTGCCAGCTGCAGACTCGCTGTTTGAGGGCTTGATAGCCCACTCCCCCTCCACACCGCTCCACACTCGTTGCTTTGGAACAGCCCTCAATATGGCGGACCCTCCGCGTGAACGCGCAAACGGAGGGGTAGGGTGTAGGGGGCGGTTTGGGAATGGGCCATAGGATCACTTCATCTTCAGGGAAGGCTACGCAGTACGCAGTCTACTGTCCCGCAGCTGCTGCCTCTCTGTTGGACTCCGGTACTGCACATTACTCACGAGACGTTGTAAAACAAAAATGAGTGGGGGGCGAACGAACTAACCACTCCGCCAGCACCACAGCGCGTGCCAGATTTGGCCCGCGAGTCGCTAGTTGATGGTCACTGACGTACAATGTGTTTGAGCGCAAGCCAATAGATGCGCGAGTGTTAGTGATGTAACTAATAAGAAACTCCCTCTAGAACAATACTCTCCAATGTTTTAGTGTCTTAGTGACTAATGGGGGGAACCATTTTTTAAATTAAAGGGGCAATTAGTCAACACACGTTCACTAGAGGTGTTTGCTTTTGCCATCGACAGAAATATCTAATGTTTTTTCTTTAACCTTCAATTTTCAGTTTGTTTATCTGCATGTGTCACTTGTTGCCAGGTGTCGACAGTGGAAACGTGAGTAAGAGTTTAAGAGGGGAAAGCCTTGTTGTCGTCTGAGTTTTTGTTATCTTTTTCAATGTCATGGCAGAATATTTAGCTGACTTCAACAATGTGGATGCATCGCAGGGTTTTACACAATAACAAAAGGCTGTGGATGAAGTGAAAGGTAAAGAAAATGTTTTATTTCTCTGTAGGATCCTTGCCATAGTGTTGTCAGTGCTGGTAAAAACAAGCACTTTAAGTAGACGTATATTGACAAACCTCTATTGCCTCGGGCCGTTTAGTGGCCTCAGCAAGGCAACGCTCAATACTTGACCAATTTCCCAAATTGTTGTCGGTGTTACTCACTTAGAAAAACAAATGTTTAGACTAGGTTGAAAAATACCAAAGTTCTTCTTCTTCTTCTTCTACCATGGTCCTTGGTAGACCAATAAACGCACAACACAGACTATAACATCACTGTTGTTCCACATGTGCTACAATGCTTTTACTGGCTATATTCTTCAATGAATCATGACCCAAACATGACGAGTAAAAAGGCAGCAAACCTTCCCGCTCAGAAAGGAAAACACAAACGTCACTATGAGACTGTTTGAATATTTTTTTATTCCAAAAGAAGTTTGTGTGTCTATAGGTTTTGAACAACAGGGCAATCTCTCTGCAGAGCACCATTGCACCTCCCACCCCCCTTCACCCACAATCACACTATAGAACCTCTTGCTCTTTAATAGGAATAATAACAACAATTTCATCATAATATTCATCATCAGTTTTAATAATCCATTTAGCACTAGTATAGAAATATGAAAAAATACCAAAGAAAAGAACATAAAAATAAACAAAAAAGCTTTGTTTTGTGGAGTGACTGCTCAGACACCCCTTCTGATTTGTTTTGTGACCCTCCCTTACCTTCATACTAGAAGTTATACAAACAAACAATATTCTTTTTAACCTTCATCTTGCCTCTAGTAAACGCTTTCAGCTGATGTTTTGAAGCCGTGGATGGACCCTTATTCGTTGTCTATGTGCAGCTGTCACACATCAAGTTTGTGAATTCGTACCACAACAACCCAAAGTGAACACAGGAAAGAGACACAATTGAAAACAACAGTGGGTTTACAACCTTTGGACAACAAGGGAATTGGAAATGAAGATGTGTATGTGTGTGTGTGTACTGTGACTTCTTGTGGAAAGGGGTTGGCTCCGGTTGCCTTGTCAGCATTCAGGACACAAAGGGAGAAGTAAACAGAGAGAAACTGAATCCAGGCCGGCGTCTGCTGACAGAAATCATTGGTAGAAACAGCATAATGTGTGCAAACAATGTTATCATTCATTATCTGGAGCACAACACTCGACAAATCTGTTTCCCTGCGAAATGCATAATTTCATACGGCAATGCAACGTTTGCCCAGACAACAATGCCATGTATTTTTTTTATAACCCAGGGGGAATTGTGAAGGGCTGAACTGGTGGGTTTCTATTTTACATTGTATGACTGCTGAATATGGATGGGTGGGAAGTGAGGGATCGTAGTCCTGCTTTTTGGTGGGATCTGAATTGAAAGCATGTCACCCCTCGGTTAAATGTGAAGCAGTTTGTAAATGTGTTTTAGAGGAAACTCATGGGGGTCAAGAGGTCTTTCAAGTGGGGAAACACGGGGCCAGAAAACATATTAAAGAAATAAAACCAAGTTCATGAAGTTCAATTGAGAATCAGCTGTTGAAAAGCATTCATACAATCTGCTGTCAGGAAATCAAACCAGAAGACAAACACTAAGAAAACACAGCCAGGATGACGGAGATACGTTTCATCAGATTACCCTCATATGTTTCTTTTTTGGAGCAATAGTTACTTACTATATGTAAAAGAGTGTGTCAAAACGCCTTAGTTTAGTGAATCACTTTACAGCGAGTATGTTGGGAGCTGATTAGATAACTGATTCAATAAACACTGAGACACTGATGAGTCAATGACCTGCGGTGCAGAAAATGCTAATACAGCACTTGATATGTCATATCAAAAATATATATATATATACTATGGGATAATGGGCTATTGTGCAAAATAAATCAGGACATTTACTTCTGAAGGGACCCTCACACAGAGGGGTTGAACCACAGAGAACACACTGATAACTGAAGGGAAATATCGCTGCAGAAAACTCATTACAGTTTAGACCTCAATCTGATCATCTTGCTTCATAAGGATACTACTTGTTGTGTAAGCATTCATTTTATTCCTTTCGGATTAATATCGGTGGTCTCATCCCTTTCAGTGTTTACAAAAAAAAACCTAATTACTTTGTAACTTCTCTTAAAATGGGCACCATTACATAGTTTCCTCAGAAAAGAGAAATAGTCTTGAGAAAACGTGGCTCAAAGCAACGGTGTGACTCCTTTGTGTGTATTTTAATGGTTTTTATTCTTGTATTCAATAGAAATCCATTGCATGGAGTTATAAAAGGTTACATGCTCTGGATAATTATAAGTCTGGTCATTTTATCAATTCATTGGTGATTGTGGTCTATGTGTTGGATTTGTGGACAATAGGAGAATTATAGATTCAAACCAGCCTTTTTTTTGAATGCTCTATGTAATTATACCACATGCTGGGAAAACTGGTAACTTCGGGGATTGAGAATCTGGTAACAATGTAAAGTATGCTCTTAATGATCACCGGTGTGCAGAAGTGGAAATAAAACGCATAACAATCTGCAAATCCACCATCCCTTTAAGGCCCGTGGCTAATAAAGTGTAGTGTTTGGATCTAGCTGAGCATTAGGCTGTAACATTAACAGCATCATTAGACGAGCTTCTCTTCCCAGGCGCAGTGCTACAAAAAACATGTATTTATTCTAAATCTATTTATCAGCATGTTTCTGTGTTCAACCCCCCCTCCTGAACGAGTCCCCTGCCACCGAGGGGAGTAATTAGGCGATCAAAAGCTTGAAACAGTATTGACGAGGCTGTGTTGAGTCTATCAGTCTGGCAGGAGCCAAGTTGTTAAACCGAGAGGAGAAGGAGCTGGAGCCCGCTGGCGCGTTAACAATCGCCTTAAAAGATGCCCAGAATTAACAGATCAGGACAGATCTAATAATGGAAGTAGTTCAGCGAAGGATTTCTCATTCAAATTCAGTGGTGTCCTTTTTCCTCGCTGCGTGTTTTCTATCTCATCCCTCTCTGTTCCCCTGTCGTTCCTCCCGGGCTCTGCCTCTCTATCTCCTCAACGCTGTGTGAGCAGAGGTGAAAAAGGAGTAAAGGCTTGGCAAGTGTTACCCGGGATAACGAGGGACATTCATTTCACATTTCAAAACCTCTTGCTCAGTCTCTCCATCTGATTATCTAACATTTGTAGAAGGGCGCTGTTGCAGGGAACATGGTTCTCCTCACTTTAAAGTATTTAAAGACACATTTAAAGACACATTTTTGTACAAACACACACACTTAGTGTAAAGAAACAGTTTCCTACTGCTACTGTTAGCTTTTGTCTTTTCAATCCAGCTTCCAGCTACGGGTCACAGGGAGGGACACAAAACTCTGGAACACAATAAGCCGCAGTCGAGTTCCTTACTTTGTCATAATCCACCGTATTGTCACATGTAGTCTGTACTTAACTCTGTAATTCCCACTTAGAACAATGGTAACAAAACGAGAGAGACAACAAAAGAAAAGAAACAACAGGAAATAATTCTCTGGAAGTCTTTTAGTTGCGGTTTTAAATCACATACGGATACAGTATGTCCTCCAACAAGGCTTCATTTTAATAGAGGGGGTATTTAGAGTCTGTGGAAAGAAAGCTAGCGCCCTCAAATCTGAAGGTGAAGTGAGAGGGGGAGGAAGGAGAGGAAGCCAATGGAAACCATCAGCTGGTCATGTGTGTGGTCAGATGTGTCCAAACTGAACTGTTAATGGGAGTTTATGACAGAATCTGAACCGACCGCCTCACAGTATTCAGGTCTATCACGTGTTCCCTCTCCTTATAAAGGTCGTCTCATTTTCTATTGGCTCAGTTCATCTCTTTTCTCCCTCCATCTCCCCCCTCTTTTTGTCCTCCCATTGCTCAGGTGGAAACAAGCAGCGTTTCTCTCAGCAGCACAAATATCCCCCCCCACCTCCGCTCCTCTGCTCTCAGTCCTGGTCGCCCAGCAGGTCTGTGGTGTTGCTGTTCTGTGGAGGAGGGAGGGGTCTGGAGGTGTGGGGGGGGGTGCCGTGGTGTAGCTGCCGCGGGCTGGGCCCCCCTGCGCCCTCACTGTCTGTGTTGGATGAGGATGGGGGGCGGGGGTGGGGGTAGCCTGGGCAGGGGGGCCGATGACGGGGGTATTCTGGTGGAGGTGGCCCCTAAGGTGCCCGATCTCAGGCTCTGGATCCTCCGGCACTCCTGGCAGATCCGCACGTGGGCGCAGCTGCGGGCGGGCAGCATCACCGGGGTGGGGGCCGGTGGAGGAGGAGGGGTGGTGTTGGCTCCCAGGGGATCATCGAGGATCCGCTGGGGACCGGGGCCCAGATCAGGGGGTCCCGAACCTCCAGCTCCGCCCGTCAGAGGCCCGGCTCCGCTGTACAGCTTCCCGTTGCTGAGGCGCATCTCCCGCACCAGGCGCAGCGGGCGGGGGGCGCCCAGCGCGATGCGGGCGGGGTTACGCAGGGCCGCCGAGCTGTTGAGGGGCCGACGGCGACGCATACGGGAACTCTTCTTACAGGAGACGGCGTTTCTGAACTCGGTGATCATCTCCTGACAGACAGACACCTGGAGGAGGGAAAGGGAAGGAGGGAGGAAAGAGGGGAAAGACGGGAGGGAAGGAGGGAGCGCCACAGACACAAAGTGGGCAGGCCGCAGAACAAGGCGGTGGTGAGGCGGGACGTAAAGAAGAGGGGAAACGAGGAAATACAAAAGGAAAAGCAACAGAAAAAGAGGCGGGATCAAGGCAGAGAGAGACAGTGAGGGTTGGTGGAAGAAGAGTCGCAGAAGAAGCGAAGGCACAGAGATCGACAAATGGAGGGATGGTGTCGGGACAGAAATGAGGAGGCGATGGGGGAGGATGAGGAGTGGATAGAGATGGGAGAATATCCAAGGAGCAGAGAGAGTTATTACAATCCAACCACACAAAACACCAAAATGTTGTTTAGTTTATGGGCACTTCATTATGGCACTATGAACGGACAGGCTGCAAACTCAGGTGCACAGACGCAAAGGCACACACACCCTCACCCTCACACACACACACACACACACACACGGATATGTGTATCATTCCAGCATGACCAATGTTATTTGCAAACACGACGGCAACAATCCACTACAGACAAACCACATTTTCATTGAAATCATAATCAAAAAAAGTAATGTGCTCACATAAACAGAAACAATACTCGTTATCGGAGAACAGACACTGATGACAGGAGGTGTGTGTGTGTGAGGGATAGAGGGGGACGTACAGTGAAATGGGTGAGAAGTAATCCAAGAATGGATACGAGGAATACCAGCGTACATGTGAGGCATGTAAAAGAAGATACATCATGACATTTAATGCCAGGGAAAAAGATCACACTACTTATCTATAGCAAGCAAATATTGCCATCTCTCAATATTGCTTATCGGTACCATCAAGATTAGCTCACGAACACTTGCTGCCATACACCAAACACTAACAAAGGGCGCAATGACTTCAAAACAGGCAGGACATGCAAAGTCAAATCAAATCCTTGTATTAGTTGTAAACATTTCGGACAGTTCAGGGGCTGCATACTTGATCATTCCTCTCATCTCAACATGCACATAACACGTTAGACCTCAAATGTTAGAGCACCCACAAACACATGGAGGCAAAAGCTGAGAGAAATCTACTCAGTCTCACACACACACACACACACAAAACAACATAATCAAAAGGGTTGGCGGGATGCCATGGGAACCTACTGGGGTGTGTCTGTGGGGTCGGCGAGGGCAGGTATGGGGGCATACCTCATCGGTGTCTGCAGAGCGGCGTGTCGACCACACGAACTCCATAATGGCCACAAACACGGCGATGATGAGGCCACAGATCAGAACCACGAAGATGCCCCCAATGTTCTCCATGCCCAGGCCTGAGAGGGGGCCACAGGGGACAAACATTAGGACGCACAAGCAGGACCAGCTTTCAAATTGACTAATCATGACACAGCCTGGGAAATAGATTTGTTTTCACAGGCTGTGTAGTGCTCTTACTGGAGTAGTGTAATACAAATGCATGACAAACGGAGCTGGTTAACAGCCAGAGATCCACCTACTGTAATTGTGTCTAAATCTAACAGCAACACCCTCACCAATGATACGATGATATTTCACTGTGAGACAAGTATGAATTTGTCTTGCATCATAGCAGCTCCACTTGCAATATCAACAAGGACAAATACCAGGAAAAGAAACAGGGAAACAGACATTTAACATCCCATTACGATCAAATGCTCAAGACCCTCCAACGTAGATTTGGCTGGGATTTGACTCTGCATTTAATGTTGAGAGTTGTTTGTAGAGGCAACATGGTGCAGAGATTGCAGAACCAAGAGCATGAAATGTTACACACAGACGCAGACAATATTTGGACAGGAAAAACAAGAAACCAGGTGAAGTGGAGAATACTGATCTGCAGTGTGCAGCCGAGCAGCGTACTTCAGGATTTTCAAAATGATTATGGGAAAGGTTTTTTGCTGAGTACACTCAACCAGCAAGCAAAAAACAAGTTTGATACAGAGAGCAGTCACGGCCAGCTAAACTGAATTGCTGTGAGCCTGACTGTGTATGTCAAACATACACAGTTGGCTTAAGGATGGTTGAAAGGCTTTTCATTTGACTTTTGACTTCAATACAAGTTATATTATTAATCAGATGAGCTGCTTGTTTGGCTGTTTGTGTGTGGACCCCAGGAGGAATAGCTAATCCTCATGCTAGTGCTAATGGGGATACTAATAAACAGAAAGACAAAGTTATGCAATGTTTTCTTTGAATCTGAAGAGCTGTTGAGGAAATGCAATTGTTTGCCATCTTGCCGAGAGTGAGGTGAGAACATTGACACCACTACAATACAATAAACATGAAGCTACTGCCAGTTAGCGTGCACAAAGCATGGAAACAGCTAGCCTGGCTCTATAAGTAGTGTGCTGCCAACTAGCCTCTCTAAAGATTGCCATTTTATCATTTTAGTTTTTTGTACAGAACAAACAGGGTTTAAAATGAAGGTCTCCACTTTAGAGTGATTTCTTCATTTCCAGGCTTCATGCTAAGCAGCTGCTGAGTGCTTTCAATCTTCTCAACTAACTCTCAGCGACTGAGCACATTTCGGAAAATGTCAAAGTACTCCTTTATGTCTGGGGAAATTACTCAAGAGACTCCGCTCTCGTTATTTTACATCGGGCTTGAAGACCACCATTTCTTAATCGACAGGCTGTGAAAAAAAACTGCAGGGAGTTTGAGAGCCTCTGCATAACAACTCAGGCAGGGTCGAAGTGAGGCGCCTGAAAAATGGATTTTTCAGTTTCTGCAGCTCGATTTTATATAAACGTTCAATCCATCCGCTGTACTTTGTTTTCCATGACACAAACTTATTTCCTTATATATAATATAAATAAAACAATATACGTATGTAAATCAGATACCAGTATTTTTGAAGTGAAAGAGATGGAGATAAAAAAAACAGTTAAAGGTGGGGTAGGTAAGTTTGAGAAACCGGCTTGAGATACACTTTTTGTTATATTCCATGGAATGCTCTTAACATCCCGATAGCAGTGAATATCTGAAGTGCTTTGACAAAAAATACAAAAAAATGTCATCTCTGGAAGCCGTGGCGCTGTAAAAAGCACGACCAATCATCTGAGCCGGCCCGGCTAAAGTAACTGGATGGCCTACCTGCCTGTCAGCCTTCCATCTGTGCACAAACTTATCTCGTGCCCTCATTGGTCATGTGTGTGTTGGAGGAGGGGCTCTGTAAGGAAGTGGCAGATTTTTTCCGGCTGTGTATTTTCAAATTCTAGCGCACTCGAGCTGGTTTCTCCTAAATTACCTACCCCACCTTTAATAATAATCAGCAAATGTACTTTTATTGGTTAGAACCTCTTTAGCTCTTACACAATCTATTCCCCTTTATTATAATAATCATTTCATTAAATCCCTTCTTCTTTACCTTCAGCTCAAATGTCTTCATCATTCTCTTTCAATTACCCTCAACTTTATGGAAGTGCTGTTTTAATTAAATTACAAACCTTAAATTGATGAAGTGGCTGAATGAATAGTGAAATTATTGCTCCGCTGAACACTGGATATAAACTACCCTAATGAAGATCAATGAAGAAAGGTATTAACTATTTTTATTCCAGAGTTACCCCACGCGTTTTCAAACTAGATTTACAGTGCAGTGGCATAAATACTGGGGCTTTTTCATTTACACACACACACACACACACACACACACACACACACACACACACACACACACACACACACACACACACACACACACACACACACACACACACACACACACACAACACATTAAACACGTGTGAACAGACCGACGCACTCTAATACAATTCCCATTACACACCACCTGAGACAAACAGGAGACATTTGGGAAAGTAGATTTCGCTAAGCACCCTTCACAAGGACATTAGGTTAGCCATTAGCCATTAGCAGGACTTTAGCAGGGAGTGAGGAGACTATTATGGGGCACATTAGAGAGAAGGAGGGAAAAGGAGACGGACAGCTGCGGTCCACTGACCCTTGGCACGGTGGTCCCCCTCTTTGGGGCATTGGCCTCCCTCCCACCACCTCCTCTTCAGTATCTCCAGCCTGTTATTCTCCTGCAGCTGGAGGATGGCCAGCGAGATCTCATCTCTGAATGGAGACCCTGGGAAATGACAGGAAATCAGGATAAGAGCGAGTGGTGGAGGACGAAGAAGAAAAAAGCTGCTGCACAAGAGCCCGTTACAAGAGAGGGGGTTATTTCAGACGAGGAGAAAAACACGAGTGAAGTGTAAGAGAAAGGGAGCAGGAATCACACGGATAGATTCAGCCTCAAGATGGCTACGAGTGATCTTACTCTGAGAATAAAGAGAGGATTAGTGAGAGATAAAAGAGTGAGATTACAACCAGACAGAGCCAGTGGTACAGCTGCTAGTCAGACAGCATACAAAGCATGGCATGAACTAGATACAGTAGAGGAGAATGGGAAGAGTTAACGGCACCAGGAAAGGCAAATATTCTTTGTCAGTTACAGTTTTATGCAGACATGAAGATAATCAGCGGTGTGAGCACCTGAACTGCTCAATGCTTGACAGTGTGTTCTGTACATTGTGACAAGAATGGTGTTTCTAGATTACCTATTCGAGCCGTTCCTTCTCTGGGAGGCTGTACAAATCACTTCCCACCATGACAAACCTCTTAAAAAATATAATAATTGAATTCCCCACAGCAATACAGAACCCGAGCTCCTTCATCTACAATCTTAGACTCCCCTCCGAGCGACTTGGGCTAATTTAGTTGAGTATTTGATTGTGGATTTTCACATGTTTTCTCTCCATGCAGAGGAAAATGTGCAACGTCTACCAGCATATCTGTGTGCAGTCATCAAAGTGAATACAATTAAAGGAGTAGTTACATATATGCTTATTCGCTTTCTTGCCAACACTTAGATGACAACATTAATACCACTCAATCTTAAATGTGAAATTGAAGCTTCAGCCAGGAGACGATTAACTAAGCTGGACACATCTACACTGGCTGAGTCCAAATGGTAAAATACAATCTGTTGACCAGCAGCTAAAGCCAAGTCATTTCCATTTGATATCTTGTGTGCTTACTTGCAGAAAGAACATGGAAAAACAACAAGTAAAAGTCCAGTATTATATGTCTTTCTTATCAAGCTCCACATTTGTGGAATCAGCTTCCAGTTTGTGTTCGGGCGGCAGACAGCCTATCCGTTTTTAAGAGTACGCTTAAGACCTTCCTTTTTGATAAAGCTTATAGTGATAAAATAAAATAATCTAATAAGAGTGCATTGACGTAGATACGTTGTGCCTCTTCACCTATACATTTTAGTTCTTACTCTTTCACTTAAATCCTAAAAACTTAGATCTTATATTTAAAACTTTATCCAAACCTTTCCCCTCTTTGACCTCTCGAGGTTTATTAGAGGGTAACAGGTTGCAGAGAAGGCCTAGCCCGGCCCAGGAGTGTGGAACGTAGTCACTGACCCACTCCTACCTCTGACAAATTCAGGTTCCAGTGGGGACCTCTCTCCCTGTGTGCCTCTCCACCTCTGTTTCCTACTTCTTACTTGCTACCCTTTTCCCTCAACCTATCCTAAGGGAGTGCATGTATGTAGACACGTTAGTTTAGCTGCTATAGGCTTGGACTGTTGGGGGGGCACCTTACTCCGTCTTTCTGGCTGTTTGTACCTGTGTACTCTCATGTTCCGATTAACCCAGTTTCCCCCAAATCTCTTTTTTGTGTCCATATATACGCCGGGATCCTGAGTCGAGGCTAATCATGTTGCTGTGGTCGTGTGTCCTGGATCCTCTATCCTGAGCACTGGATCTGAGTCCTGGCTGAACCTGTCTCTGCGGTCCTGCCTGACTCTCATCATACTACTTCCCTGATGGCTCCCACAAGATTGCTGACATCCTCGTGGATTCATCTCCTTATTATAGACACATGCATTTCCTAACATTTGGTCTACCTATGTTGTAAATGTATTATCTCTTCGATTTACACACGGCATCTATTGCACGTCTGTCCGTCCTGGGAGAGGGATCCCTCCTCTGTTGCTCTCCCTGAGGTTTCTCCCATGTTTCCCTTTAAACTGTGGGTTTTCTCTGGAAGTGTTTCCTTGTACGATGTGAGGGTCTAAGGACAGAGGGTGTCGTATTGTCATATTGATATTCTGTACACACTGTGAAGACCACTGAAACAAATGTAACATTTGTGATATTGGGCTATATAAATAAACATTGATTGATTGATTGATTGAGTATTACTAATGAAACCACATTTTATGAAGCTATGGACAAACCAAAGCCGTTACGGCCCGTCTACACGGCGGCGTGCCATTCACTTTGAATGGGGTGACGTCACGCTTTTCCGAACTGCATTGTGGGAGTGTTGCTTCGCTTTGCTCGCTTCAAAAGTTGAGCAATGTTCAACTTTTGAAGCTTCTGCGGAAGCGTCAGCCAATCAAATCATATGCCAGTACAACCTAGCCAATCAAACCGCGTGCTTGTGTGTCCGGGGCGGGAGATTCATGTGATTGGTTGTTGGTCGAGTTTCAGACAAGCTCACCGGCAAGCTTCAACGCACGCTGCCGTGTGGATGCTGCGTTATGCTAAGCTATAATCGTCTCCTAGCTGTAGAGTATATGAAGCGTATCAAGAGGGATGAATGTGTCAAACAATTTCTTTAAATGTAACTATGTCTAAAGGTTAGAGAGAAAACATGCAACTCAGGGACATTTCTATCCCACAGGCAATAAGACCGGACTCTCTGAAGTGTTACCATACATATGTTTATATATATACTGTATATATACATATAAACATCTTAATTACTGTACAGCACAACGTTCTGTTTTATCTTGTTCTCTTTTACATGTAAATATATGGTGCATTTTATTGCACCATTATATCTCCTGCTCTATTTTATTTCCCTTTGTTATGTCTTACTGTTAGTATATTGCTGTACGTTGCATTGTTGGATTGCCAAAAACGACCTCGTAGCCGTTGTGCATGTGACAATAAAAGCTTTGAATCATAAATGGTTTGCTTTTCTTTATTGTTCGTGGACCAACTCTCATCTTAAATTCTGTATAAGATCTTCCTCTCCTCTTTGCTGTCCCCCAATGACTGCGTTTGCTCTTCATGCTCATGAACACACTCTGCTTTTTCTTTCTTTGCACTTTTGGCTTCTCATATTTTACTTTTGGTCTTCCTCCTCTTCGTTAGTATGGATCACTGTGATGCAGTGACACAACCTCTGTGAGCTAAACAACATTACAAAAAAACCTCCAGAAGGGCCGGACGTGTGTGGAAAAGCAATTAACTGCAGTTTCATTACTTCCAGTTGCAATACTTACTAATCCCTCAGATACAAACTAAATCAGGCACGTACAAGACATTTTTCAGACGTAATCTCTCCCCATTAGGATACTACACGTGTCTGTTTAGCATAATGGATCTCATGCAGGTGTTTCTGACTCTCCAACAGTCAATTACGTTTGTTTTGTTGTTCTTGAGGTTTATAGAGAAAGACCTATAATATCAGCATTTCTACACAAGTATAGGTATGTGTTATCTTCTTCATTTATTCAAATACAGTGACTAAGAGAGAGATAAGAATGGGAGGGATGAGCACACAGCACACACAGTGAAATGTGTTCTCTGCTTTTAACCCATCCTAGTGCTAGGAGTCTAGTACTAGGAGCAGTGGGCAGAGAGGCTGAAGTCGAATAGTCCATTTAACTTAGGAACCTTCCTAACCAAGTGAAATGACCCGGAAGTCCCTCAGTGGCAGCCATGTTAAGTGCTGTTCGAATTCTCTACATGAAAGGAAAGGAGGTTTCAAACTTCCTTTATAACCTCCTTTAGCTTAGGAACCACTGGACCTCCCTAACCGAAAGGAGAGGAGAAAATGCTGCCCCACAATGCATTGCAGCCGCAGCATTTGCCGTCACTCAACAGTCGGCCGTTCACGGAAACAACCGATTATGACGGAGAAATTATATCATGAAAGTTACGGTGCTTATTAAGCTTTTTAAAACGTATGTGGTAAGTTGCCAAAGTGCTTTGTTCTGAACGTTCATCAGTATTAAAATCAAAAAGAGAAATATGAACGTTCATCATTTGTATTAATGTGGACCGGAGGGAGAGGGTGAGGAGCATAAGTTTCACTTTCCTTTTTTATTTCAATTCCAACTTTGGTCATGAAGAATATGTTTCTCTTTGTCCACGTTCATAAAGCATAAAGCAACAGCGTCAGAGCACGGTGCAGAGTCTCTAGATGAGTTTACAGTAGTCCCTCGTTCTTATTAAACATCCATGTTGTAGTCCTCTGTATAGAAAACTGTAGTTCCCATAGTTTCCCCACAGCAGCAGACGCACATTCATGACGTACGCTGGCGCATCATAAACACGTCGGTCTCTTCTCCTAAGTCCTTTTGAATTCTCCTATCCACTATCCCTTAACCCCGTGACGTTTCACTCAGAGGTCAAGGAATAGACGATAGGATTAGACGTTAGGAGCTGATTTTTGGATTATTCGACTGCAGCCCTAGTGTACAGCGCCCGGGGAGCAATGTGAGTGGGGGGGGAAGGGGGATGTCCGGTGCCTTGCTCAAGGGCACCACGGCAGGGCAGGAGGTGAACTGGGACCTCTCCAAGTAGAAGTCCACACTCCATATTTAGGTCTGTTCGGGGACTTGAACCGGCGACCCTACGGCTCACACGTTGTCCTACTGACTGAGCCACTGACGGACTGGTCATAACAGGCATAGATATACGTTTACATCCCTGGTACTGCACTGCTTGTCTACTGCAATGTCTTTGTTTTGACCAATAAAGTCTGTAGGTAAGTTGTGTAACAGTGCATCAAGAGTTTGCTGAAGTCCATGTCTGATTTTAATAAAGCTTGAGATCTGAGCAGTGTGTTATTTTATTGTCTGATACTTACAGACACTTTAAGTTTTCCCATTTAGCTTTTTCTTTGCTGTGGTTTCCATCTTAAGTGTAATCTCTTGTAATCAGAGGCTGCAAGAATATCAATAAATCAGATGTATTGTCTAATATCACACTCAGGGGTCTTTACAGGCTGTACAGTACACACCACTCTCTGTCCTTAGACCATTGAAGCGGACGAGGAAAAACTCCCCAAAAGAAACCCCATAATTAACGGGGAAATCACTGTAATCTCACTCCTTAACTAATGCAGGCAACTCAACAACAGTAACGCAGCGTCCACACGGAAAACTGTATATCTTATCTCTCTGGACCTGAATAAAACACCCAAATGAAGTAGTCTATTAATAATAACAAAGTTAAAATGAACGTACTTTATGATGTTGCTACATATTGAGGGTGAAGCATTAAAGGATAGCCATTAGTGTTTGGACATAATCACCAACATAATATCACTGCTCTCTGTTTAAAGATTCATTAAGCTGCTCTTTCTAACCACTGAAGACCAGTATCTAAGTGTTTCAGTGCTATATTTAAGTAAACTCAGAGGACCATGCATTATTTAATATGTTGTTGTCTTGACACAACCCAGTCTCACGCCATTTCGTGTTATAGTCACGAAATTAATTTGATCTATTGATTCGTGTTCACCAACACGATTTTCGCATGTTTTTCGTGTCACACAGAACGATTTTAAAAGCAATGTATTTCTATTGGTAGTGTGTTTCGTGCCTGCACCACTACGTCTTTTTGTCCGGTCGGGTCTTGGAAGACCGGAAGCTGTGTGGTTCATAAACACATTTTCTTACTCAATATCTTACCCTAAGCCTAACCCTATCCCTTTTATTTTAAATTGTATAATGTCTGAGTTTTTTTGCCGTCCGCGAGGAAAATAAATGGCTCAGAGCCTCAGAATACTGACATCTGTATTTTTTGTCATCTTGTTTTCCTTCTAATTTGTTATTATTTGGCGCAGGCACGAAACATACTACCAATAGAAATACATTGCTTCTGAAATCGTTCTGTGTCAGAATCCTGAAATCTGTATTTTTTTAATCTGTTTTTCCTTCTAATTTGTTATTATTTCCATTGCTTTTAAAATCGTTCTGTGTGACACGAAAGAAATGGCGAAATCGTGTTGGTGAGCACGAATCAATAGATTAATTTCGTGACTATAACACGAAATGCCGTGAGACTGTGTTGCTTCACACTATACCCTATTCTTTTGAATTCATTCAGAAACCTTGAAACAGGTCCAAATATATGATCAGTGTAGCATCTCTTGAGGCTTCTTTGCACTGGTTGCCTGTTGTTGATTTTAAGATAGATTTCTTCGTTAATAAACGATATGTCTAATCAAACACATGACAGTTGTGTTTTTTGACCGTCCGTGACCTTTAATCCCCGAGAGGACAATCTGATCCTCAGATCTTCAGGCATGACTGAGTGTTTGCTGCAGGAGCGTGTAGGCGTTGAAATGCTCTGCCTGAAACCGCCACTGATTAAATCAATATGGATGTTTTTCAAACCCATTGATAGGCTTCAAAGACTTGTGATAGTTAGATTTACATGTTTTAAACCATTTTTATCAATCGTCTTTGCTTTTTATAGTGTGATTACATACATTTTCTTTCAAAATAGCAAATATAGTGAAGGATAAAGTTACCAGATAAGAGCATCAGCAATAATGTGTGATCCCTGATTGTGATTACTGATCTAACAGTGTCACGTATCAGGGTTCATACACTTTTTCACCAATGATTTTCAATGACTTCTCCATGACCTTTACCTAATTTTCCATGACCAAAAACATTACTCTTTCTCAGCGGTACCACTGGAAATGGTTTATTTTAACATGGAACAGGAAAATAAGGTCTGCAACATGTTGTGCCTATCTAAAACAAATCAAATAGTAGGCTTACTAGCTCCTACAGGCTAAAGCAACTCAAATATCTTACCAGCAAAATACCTCGTCAGTTAAATGCCATTTTACGGTTCATTACTATAGGCAGGGGTGCACATCACTTGTTTGCCCTGGTTCTCAAAGGAGCACCTGGAGATGTTGCTTGGTGCGCATCCTTAAAATGAAATAAACCAGACATTTTGACCTTTGAATGGGGGGGGGGGGGCTAGTGAGCACGCTTATGAACTGTTCGATACAGTATTTATTATTGTTATAGTATTACTATTTCGGCGATTAAATAAAATATAAATTATATTTGATGCAACTTTAGTTACATTTCCATGACTTTTCCAAAACTTTGGGGAAAATATTGTTTTCCATAACTTTTCCAGGGCCTGGAATTATTATTTTGAATTTCCATGACTTTTCCAGGTTTTTAATGACCGTAAGAAGAACCCTGAAACATTATATATATATATGGAGGGTATGTTTCTGCAGAATGAGTCGTTTTAACTTTTTATATTACAACTACATTTTGCTGAAGATACCTCCGTACTTTTACAGAGAATTTGAACGCGAGACTATTTTTTAAACTTGAAATGGAGTATTCTAACATTTATGTAGTGGTATTTTTAGTTCAGTTAAGGATTTACATTTTTCTTCCACTCCTGACAAACAACTCCGCTTTCCTAAAGAGAGTTTACCCTCGCAGCGTTTTGAATCATTGATATGCAAAGCCCTGCGCTCCATCTTTACACTTATTTGATGTTTTACTGGGTAGTTATTTACATTATGGGCTGCTACAGGCATGTATGTTTTAAAGATGTGTTATTACCCAGTGGCATGCCGATGCCGTAGCCCTTGGTATCCAGCAGGCCTCCGATCTTAGTGAGGTTGCAGTTGAGGCCGCGGTGGTACTCGTTCATGGTGCTCTCCATCAGGAAGGCGTATTTTGAGTTGACCACGCGGGCGATGCCCTCCTCGGTGCTTTTCACAAACACACTGGGCTGCTTTGAGTTCATGTAGTTCCACATCCGCTGGTAGGTCTGGTACCGCGAGTTCTGCAGAGGAGCACAACAAACCAGAATGAAATACTGATGTCAGATATGTGTTCTTACACGTTCATTCGTCTTTGAAGCAGAAATTAAATCGATAAGAATGAAAGAGGGAAGCTATAAGCTCAAAGGACAAAGCTCCGGACCTGGGGTGACAGGGCCTTCGCAGCAGCCTCCCCCTCACTCTGGAACCCCCTCCCCAGCCACGTCAGATCCGCCAACACTCTCACATCATTCAAACAATCCCTCAAAACTCACCTTTTCACTCTTGCCTTCAACTCCTAATCAACTAACCCCTTGCCCTTATTCCTCCTAGCTTAGCACTTTCTACTTTTGTTGTTATTTTGTTTTACTTGCTTGTAAGCGCTTTGAGCACCAGGAAAAGCGCTTTATAAATGTAATGTATTATTATTATAAGAGAAAGAGAGATGCATCTAAACGGGGGAGGGTTATTTAGGTAGAAGAGTGGGTGAATAATGACAAGAGGATGGCAAAGAGGAAGGAGGAGAGGAGAAGGGGAAAATAGCAAGGTGAATCAAGGCTACAGATTATTCACACATGGCGTAGCTGATGCATCATCTTTCATACAGGTGGAGGTAAATCAGGAGGGGGTTTAGCAAATATGGAAAGCTCTAAAACAGGATTAAGTGTTTAAAGTGAACAATTACAGGTTGCATGTGTGTGAGAAGAAAGGAAGAGAGTAGACAAGGCTGCATGTGAGGGTGATAATGCGAGGTGTGTATGTGTGGATTAGGCTTTGAGTGGGGTAATGTACTGCAGCACTAAAATTGGCTTATGTACAGTAGGAAAACAGACCACTCTTTCTTATATCCTCAGTGTGGACGAACACCAGGAGAAGGTAAAGCATAAACACTCACAATTTGGCATGCAGCCATTTCCCATGCATGCACACAAATAAACAAATACATAGTGTTTCCATATACTCACCTACACTCACTCCCACATGCAAACACACCATCACACAAAGACAAAACACACACACACACACACACACACACACACACACACACACACACACACACACACACACACACACACACACACACACACACACACATACCCCCACTTTGACAAACACAGAGGCTGGAAGCGCTCTCATGAGTAAACACAGGCAGGCAGCCACTTAACACAATCACAAACAGCCATAAAGAAAACAACAGAGATATAGTAGCGTGTGAGGACAACGACTCACTATGGGCACAGCAATAAGAACAAACAACAGTCCACTAAATCACACGTGCACAAAGAAACCCAAAAACCTCATGAAACATTTACAGCGTTAAAGGATATTCAGGAAAATGTCAAATTAGACTGCCGAACTCCCACTGCCATCAAAATCAACATCATTTAAAGGTCCCCTATTATGCTGTTTTTCATCAATATATTACAGGTCTCAGATATATACAAAACATGTCTCTGAATTGTTTGGCTCCAAATACCAAACTGATCATTGCAGCATTACCCATAATCCCCTCTGTTTCAGCCCTGTTTCAAAAGTGCTGATTCTCTGTCTGTTACTTTAGATGAAAATAAGGAGCCCCTCCCCACGCCCCTCTGAGAGACATTTGGTTACAAAGAACACAATGGTGCTCTAGGAGGAGATTCAGGTGATAAGGGGGGGGGGGGTTACCTTGGTTGCTGATTGGCTGATGGTTACACAAGCCAAACATCGTTACGACATCATAAAGTGGCCAAAATCTGATCAGCTCATTTTCAGACAGGTTTTTATAGAAATGGATCAGGACAAAAAGAGAGAGAATCTTTGTTCCTGAAACTTTCAGAGTCTCTTTCCACAGAGGGGACACATGTTGATGAAGAAGAGACATGAAGAAGAGGGGACACATGTTGATGTAGAAGAGACATGAAGAAGAGGGGACACATGTTGATGTAGAAGAGACATGAAGAAGAGGGGACACATGTTGATGAAGAAGAGACATGAAGAAGAGGGGACACATGTTGATGAAGAAGAGACATGAAGAAGAGGGGACACATGTTGATGTAGAAGAGACATGGAGAAGAGGGGACACATGTTGATGTAGAAGAGACATGGAGAAGAGGGGACACATGTTGATGTAGAAGAGACATGAAGAAGAGGGGACACATGTTGATGTAGAAGAGACATGAAGAAGAGGGGACACATGTTGATGTAGAAGAGACATGAAGAAGAGGGGACACATGTTGATGTAGAAGAGACATGAAGAAGAGGGGACACATGTTGATGAAGAAGAGACATGAAGAAGAGGGGACACATGTTGATGAAGAAGAGACATGAAGAAGAGGGGACACATGTTGATGTAGAAGAGACATGGAGAAGAGGGGACACATGTTGATGTAGAAGAGACGTGAAGAAGAGGGGACACATGTTGATGTAGAAGAGACATGGAGAAGAGGGGACACATGTTGATGTAGAAGAGACATGAAGAAGAGGGGACACATGTTGATGTAGAAGAGACATGAAGAAGAGGGGACACATGTTGATGTAGAAGAGACATGAAGAAGAGGGGACACATGTTGATGTAGAAGAGACGTGAACAAGTAGATTTTGCATAATAGGTGACCTTTAAAGAAACACACACACACAGTCACACACATGTTCACTCAAAAACCCCAGACATATTACACGAGTGGGTCGTACCATGAAGAAGGTCATGGTGCTCCCTCCGTGGATGGTGCCGTACTCGATGTTGGTCTGGTCGGCCAGGTCGTCCGGAGACTCGATGGGGACCTCCATCCTCTGGACGGTGAGGAAGGCCGCCAGGTTGGCCGTGTAGGAGGAGATGATGATCAGGGTGAACGCCCACCTGTCAGGGCAGACAGGGGAAGACACATGTAGATAAGGTCAGCATGGATGGACAATATGTATGACACTTATATGGCAAAACAGTTTCTTTCAGGTTTAATTGCAATATACACTCTATTTTTACAATGTCATAATGGCTCCTATTGATTTTACATGTTCACTCTGTCTTTTATGTTTTACCACATACTTATTTAGTTTTATTTGTATTGACATGTGCTTGCCACTTTTTTTTATAATGTAGGTCTACTCTTTTAATGTTTGCCTATTATCTGCACTGCTACTTTGCTCTTGTAACGCTTAAGGAACAATGCTTTCCAAGCTTTCCGATTCTGATTCTAAAAACGTCAAACTTAACTGTTAATCAGCAGTATTCTTATCCTTTTCCCTTTAATAATAGAAACGGTTCTGACAATATTAATTATGGTGACATTTTTGGGAACAGAGCTGCAGATTTTTTTCTTAATTTGACTCGCAATCTTGAATTGTGAGATATATCCTCCTGGGACCCAGCCCATTGAAAATGTCCACTGTAGTGGACATTTTGTTAACATGCATCTCCTTTTACTCTTTTGAGCTACTCTATCAATCCCTGATGTGCTGTACAGAGGACATCCTGGTCTTTCCAGTGATATGTCATTGGTTAAAATTGCATGCTGGGAAGTTCCTCTTTCTTTTCATCCAAAATGGCTGGCATACGAAAAACAAAATTGTATAGAAGCAGGAGGAGAAGTCAAATATTGTTGAATAATTGTCATTTTTACCATGAAAATCATATATATTATTGTTTATTAACATGTGAGGAACTATATAATTATTTTTGAAAGCAATTAAATAATTCAAGTTTTCAAATAACAGCCCTTTTATAAATGTCCATTCTAGAGGACGTCAGGACTATCTTCATGGACTTTATGACTCAATATTGTTGCAGGAGACGGAACTGAAGCAGACATTTTCTGTACCAGATAGTTCAGGGAGATTCAGATTTTGAGCTCTCAGATGATGAGAGAGATGAGGCTTTCACACCTGGGATAGAAGAGGGTCAAGAAGAAGGGGGGGAAAGATGCAGGATGCCCCATGAGCGCACAGATAGATACATAGAGACAGATAGGGACGAGCTGGAAAGACATGGCCCTCTGTGGGTCAAGAGTAGCACGTATGTATTATTGTTGTTTTTATTTTAAGTGGAGCCATGAAAAATGAGAGTTGCCTCAGGAATGCAAGCTTTGTTTCTATGAGCAGGTCAAATGGAGACCACATCCATCAAACTAGTCAAGATGACCCTACAGCCCGTGCTGACTGGAGTCAATGAGGTACTTTCCCACTACATTGACTACAAAGTCTTTGAAGATCTGGAAAGATTCACCAAAAAACAAGCTAGTTTTGTATTGACCAAATAAACAGCAATGTTCAGATCAATTACTTATTCATGTTTTAAATAAAGGTGAATGTATTATTGTATTAATATCACTCTATAACCATAATACGTCACATAGTCCATCTGTTCATTTTGGCTGTCTTTTCAAACTAATATGGTCCCGACGTCCTCTACAGTGGACATACTGTAACATTTTAAAATAAAATAAAATAAAAAAAGTCTAAATTGCAAGATGTTTTTTTAACCCTAAATAGGTAGGAAATCACAACAAAAAGGAAATTGGAAGACACTTTTTTTTCCTCGGGTCCCAGGAGGATATAGACTTTCTGGATCAAAACAAATCATACATATCATGTCAAATTCTCGGGGGAATGTCTGGAAATGTCTGACATTTTATCACATTAAAATAATTAATAGTAATAAAAGAAGATTACTATTAATCAATCCTGCTTGTTGGAAGGACAGCCAACAATGGCCAATAAATACAAGGACTTTTCAAGGGAGAGCGTAAACTGTGGAGCAAACATTCCCAAAATACATTTTCTCACCGTGTTTATAATCATATCAACTCACTTTAAAGGTGGGGGAGGTACGTTTGAGAAACCGGCTCGAGATACACTTGTTGTTATATTCCATGGAATGCTCTTAACATCCCGATAGCAATGAATACATTAAATGCTTTGACAATAAATACATTAAAAAATGTCATCTGTGGAAGCCGTGGCGCTGTAAAAAGCACGACCAATCATCTGAGCCAGCCCGGCTAAAATAACTGGATGGCCACCTGCCTGTCAGCCTTCCATCTGTGCACAAACTTATCTCGTGCCCTCATTGGTCATGTGCGCGTGTGTGTGTGTTGGAGGAGGGGCTCTGTGAGGAAGTGGCATATTTGTTCCGGTTGTGTATTTTCAAATTCTAGCGCACTCGAGCTGGTTTCTCCTAAATTACCTACCCCACCTTTAAGTGTAAGTAAGAAATGGTGTCAGGTTTATAGGAGTAAAACATAGACTAAAACAGGACAAAATACTCCCAAACTTCTTGAATGGGACTCTCTTCTGACCTTTCTTGCATGTCTTCAAACTTTGTTCAAAAAGAACATTATGTATTCACTTTACTTAATAATGTTCCCCTATCCCATATCTTGCTCAACTCAGTGTAATTTGCTCTTCCTGTCTTCCTCTACCCTTTATCTCCTTAGCTCTGAGCGATCATTTTATCCTTTACAGTGTGTGTGTGTGTGTGTGTGTGTGTGTGTGTGTGTGTGTGTGTGTGTGTGTGTGTGTGTGTGTGTGTGTGTGTGTGTGTGTGTGTGTGTGTGTGTGTGTGTGTGTGTGTGTGTGTGTGTGTGTGTGTGTGTGTGTGTGTGTGTGTGTGTGTGTGTGTGTGTGTGTGTGTGCGTGCGTGCGTGCGTGCGTGCGTGTGTGTGTGTGTGTGTGTGTGTCAGTCACTCTGTTGCCACAGGACTATCATCAGGCTACTGTAGTGTTTCTGTGAGTTTAGCATTTTGTTTTGTTTGCCCGGTGCTCAGGGAATGAAATTCCCTGCATGAGCGATATTTCAGCTTTATCCTGTTAAACTTTAAAATCTAAATGTCATTATCTCACACAGCGGATGTGCTAAGGAGAAGAGAAGCGAAAATGCATCCTCAAGGAAAAATGCAGTTTCTGATGAAGAAATGAGGTTAACCAGTGGATTGCTTTAAACACAACTATGAAGAGAAATTAGGAATCTAGTATGTACAGTAACAGTTTACCAAATATCTGTAAAATGGCTGATCTTCCTATAATAATCAAAAGTAGTTTAAAGATCATGACATTGGACTTCATGTCGTTATCGGTATTTACTGCCGCTTCTAATTATTTAATTTGGTAATTTGGTCTATTAGTCGTTTTATTATTTGAACGGATTTTATTACAATTTTTTAAATTATAGTATTTATCTTTTATCTTAACTATTTTCACATTTCAGAAATCGGTTGCTCTTCTGTAACCCTTTGCTCATGAATACATGTTTTAAAAGGCAAGATTTAACCAGCGCTACGAGAAGCGCTTACACCTTTGACGCTTGAATGTTAAAACTCTGCAGATTGAATCTCAAACATCTAATTAAAGTTAAAATAAGCAAAAACAGGGATTTTAAACTGGTCGGCAGACAAACTTCAAAGGAAACTCTGAAATGAATAACTCCAATGTAATATAATATATCCATGGTCTAAGTTGGTTAAATCAATATTTGAGCGCATGAGCTGCTCTCTCTCAAATCCATTAACCATTGAATTAATTGTCAAACTTGTGAGTAGTGTTAGGTCTGGAGCCGCTCCAAAGACAATGAATGTGAAACAGATTTTGTTGACTCAAAGTGTTTTGTTTTTTAAACCTTAATTAGCTTTATTATCTGTTTTCTCAGTTTTACATATACCATAATTATCGGACTATTCCTCAGGGTGCTCTCATTGTCAACTCTAAAATCTGTACCAATTCATTGTCAAAGGAGCATTTGGATACTTTGTACTGAATGACATCAAACATATGAGTTTAGAACTTTTTGGAAGTGGGAGGGACTTGTTCAGGATTATCTATATATTTTTGACTATAATAGACCACAGCAATAACATGTATGGATTGTGTAACTCACCACACCCCACTAACACATCTGGTGGACAGCGCTCTGGGCATTATCTCTGACCCCTGCTGCATGAAGCCTCCGATGGGGAACCACAGGCTGTTCCCCAGCGTGTACTGGTTCTCCAACACGTCCCTGCGCTCTCTGAGACACGGGTGAGGGTTGTACCACTCATAGGGGCTCAGCCTGGTGGAGAAACACAGAGGGGAATACAGGTTGAATGGCCTTGAGGTCAAACCGCAGTACAGTAATGCACCTCCCTCAGATCATTCAAGCCAGCACCAATCAGTCATTCGATCGCTGTCAATCTGTCTGCGGGAGGTTGTGTACGGGAGGACATAAGGATATCTGACAGGCAACTCGTGTTCGACATGACAAATGCCGACAGAGCCGCAGACTGTGTGAGGAAATGTATTGACCTTGCAGCCAGGAAGAGCACACAGCTGACAGCCAGGTAGGCGAGCAGCATGAAGAGCCACACGGCCGGAGAGAAGGGGTCGAGGAAGGAGAAGTAACCCGGCTTCCGACCCTGGTGCACGGAGAGAAGAGAAGAGAAACAGTGAAGTGGAGAGATGGATGGAGCAGAAGAGACAGGAAGGTACAGTGTGTTAAAAAACTAGGTGTCATGTCTCTCACTGAGTGTCTCCTCTGCACCACAGGAGGGCAGTGTCCTTCACTGCACGTTGGTAGTGAGTCTGCAGTGCTTTGATACGCTAATGCTACAATCCATAAATGCTCCGTTTCACAATGCCTTCTGCTGAAGCACACTTGGCTTGGACCCAGAAGCTCATTAGCAATGTAAAGCTGCCACTGGTACGGAGCTACGGAGCACTGACTTATTGAGCAATTTAAATTACACCTATACATTTCACAGTGGACGCTACACAATCCTGGACTTCAAAGATGGGATCAACTGTTATGTAAGATTCAGTCTGATTTCATAAGAATCCTATAGCAAGTGTACAGTATCTCCCTGTCAGCTTAAAAGCAGCACAAACAGAAGAGATGGAATCTAACACAGGATCTGGAGAGAGTATCTCCCTGCAGACCCAGATAACACCCTCACCAGTTGAGCTCGGTACAAGATGCTGATCCCCAGGGTCATGAACGGCTTAGAGAAGTCGATAACTTTCTCTCTTTCTGATGTGATGGTGAAGCCCGCTACGGCCAGGTCTGCTTTCTGGAGGATTGACAAAGATAGATAGGTGGTGAAGATAGTAGTGGAGGAGAGGGAAAGAGAGAGGCAGTGGAGGAGAGTCAGGGAGAACAAAAACGACAAGTGGTCGGATACCTGCGTAAAAATAGAAAGACACTCGACACTGCACTGAAACATGAGAGCTGCAGCTCCATTTGAACATCAAACAAGGACAAATACATTGAACATAACATTACACTAAACACAGCATATACATTCAAAACCCTTCAATCTGAAAATAAGCTCCACATTTCATTTTTAGGATTGACTAGTGCAAAAAAGAGTGCTTCTGTATAACCTTTTTAAATCATGGAAACCTGTGTGTCTGATTGGATGGTAACCATTTGATATCAGCTGTTCCTGACAGAGTTGAGGTCAGAGACAATGATGCTGGATGGCCTTTCTTATGTTATTATGGTGAGCTGATTCATGGAGTTTCAAAAGGGATTGACCTATACAATCCTTGAGCGGATTTCAATTTGGGGGAGCAGTTTGACTTTAAGGATGTAACACTTATACCATTGCAACAGCGTGGAGCACAAATTACAGAACAAAAGAACAAAATATTTGTTTCTATTCGCCCCGTAGGACTTAAGGCGATGCAGAACATAAACTCTTTGTTTGGTAGTTTTCAAATGTTGATTTCCAGAATGAAAAATGAAATGTTTGACTGTGGCACTTGAAAACACATTTGGAAAAACATCGAGGCGTGCACTCTCCCTCTGGCACAGAAACTCGCACATTACCCACAGTCCAAATGAGGTTAATTGCGAGTAAGCACTGGGTGGCCGGGCTGTGCACCTGTATGAGGTCTCTGGTCGCTCTGCCTCCCCTCCATCTCTTCCATTAAAAGCTAATAGATGAACATGGGCCGCTAATTAGAGCTGAGTGATCAGGAAGTGGGTAGGGCATGAGGGAGAGGAGCGTGGAGAGCCGGGGGAGCACCAGTGTGGCAGCCCCCACACAGGGACCACAGTCTGGTAATTGAAGTATACCGTATGGTAATTAAGCAGAGAGGGGCTCTCATTAGCCTGCTTCCACTACAGTGTCTGTCTGAGGCGCACTATGTTTGGACAGGGGAAGCAAGGAGGGGGATAGTGTGAGGAAAAGATGGTGCAGACACATTTTAGGCAACGCAACCACTCTTTTGGGGAATTATCGAGTCAGCTTTTGTCCTAGATAAGAGTCTTGCTCCCCTCTGAGGGCAATTTGAGACATGTGAAGTTACAGCAGAGTTGTGGTTTGGGGCTACAGCGTGAGTGTGTGGGTGTGTGTGTCGAGCATACGTTTCTGTTGCTAGAGATACTGGTTAGAACATTTGAGCATGTTGCTGTGAGTATGTGAAACAGAAAGAGAGAGGGAGAGGGAGAGTGTGCCCACCCTGTTGATTAGCTCTCCAACCATGCCAGTCCAAGAGCCGTTGGGCTCTGGCGCCCCGTACAGCCCGTCGTCCACCAGCTTGATTCTGAAGGAGAATTTCAAGATGTCTGCCAGCTCCTTCAGCATGTCCACACAGAAGCCCTCGTACTGGTCATTGCCCTGGAAGTCCTGGTAGTTCTCTCTGCGCATCACATATGGGTTCTCCTAAGCAAGGGGAAAAACACAAGGCGATCCAATCCAAAACTAACAGTATCGAATTTGAGCAGAGATTACTGACTCAAATGTAAGACTCAATGCTTCAAAGCGAATTCAATTATAACAAAAATAACTGTTATGTAAATAATAGATAGTTGGACATTTTGGGGAAATGGCTCTCAAGTAGAGAGGGATGAGGAGATCAATACCACTCTCTTACTTAGTCTGGAAACAAGGTGTAACCTGGCTCTATCAGATTGTTGGAGCTATATATCTCTTTATATTATTTAATAGTTTAATATTTATTTTCTTGCTGTTTATAGTGTTTATTGTAAATGTATTCTTAGTTAGTGTCATAAGTTAAAGTAGTTTCTATGCTTTTATTTTGAAGGCATGTTTGGGCACTGGGTGATTAGAGCACCTGGTGTAATTGTATATATTGGAGACAGGTGGAGGTGGGAGCCAGAGCACTAGTAGGCAAACGGTCTTTTAGCAGGGTGTTTCAAGCCACACAAGGGAAAGCCATAGGAACGGCTTAAGGAAAAGAGGTATAGGCCCTGCGTAAGATCCGCTAACTAGTGCCTCAGCGGCTGTTTTAGTTCTATAGGATTTTGGCCGCTACACAGATGTTAAAATCCACCTTTAAACATCACTAATGAACATGTTGTAGGTTTTATTTAAATCCATACAGTTTATTCTTTGAAATAAGCTAACTGTGCTATCGATCTCGGTCAGAAAATGTAATGTAATAATTACAATTCTCCAAATAGAGAACGATTGCATTAGGATTAGGAAGCACAAGTTGTATTGTTCATGCCTTTGATTTGATTATGTTTCCATGTAACTCTGTCCAAAGCATTTTGAGTCATTACTCAAATTAAGTTATATGTATGTACAGTACATTCAAAGTGCATTTATTGGACAAATAATACAAAGACATTGGTTAAACCAGTCAGGAAGAGTCTAAACAAAAGGATTATAAACAGTTGCATTATGGGAAAAGTAGGATTCAGATGTTATTAGTGCTTAAGCAATACCTTGATCTGAAAGACAGGATATCTTCCAAGCTGAACAATCACTTTAAAAGGTCTGCAAGCTTTCAGTATAATTTCTGATTCTAGTTCAAGTATTATTTCAGAAGGCTAGTACATATGCAGAACCCCCCCGAGGACACATGGGCACAAACCAATTTAACTCTTGAGAGAAATCAGTGAAATAGCTCTCTTGTTCGCATTGTATAACCAAAATAGATATGTTTTAAAGGAATGTAGGATTATTTGCTGCCATATGATTTGTTATGTACCTAATTTTCCTAAAAAAGGATAATAATAGCAAGTAATCAAGCTTTGTCATTATTGTTACATCAACAGTCATGTCAACAAAGCATATTTAATGTTTTATTTGAGCAAAATGCTGCAGAGGATTAAATGTAAGGGTTTTTATACATCCATGCCAACGTGGAGAAGATGGAGCATCATGTGAGGGATTTATTGATTTGCTGATGTGACATTACTCATATGGAAACCTGACAGAGACACACTCGAAGTGTTCGGAGATTATGAGAGGTCCAATGTTCTGGCGGTTTGAATTCAGTAACACATTTCTCTCAGTGCTCTGTCAGCTTCTATGACAGCTACAGTGACAGCAAAATTAGCACAAAACAGACAACAAAACAGCTTGAGCTGCGGCACAACAACATCCATGACCTCAGCAGCACGGGGGCAGGGGGTAACGTACCATTATGGTGGTGACGATGAGTGTCTTGTTGGCCAGCGTCTCCGAAACATTGATGTCCAGACTGGTGGAGTTCATTGCCAGGGTGTTGTTGGAGTACCAGATCCCGATCTAGCAGAGCAAGCAAGAGGAAATCAATGGCTGAAGTGGGACAAATACTGTGGCATTAAAGGGGCCCTAAAATGCTTTTTGGGGGTTTTCCCTTTCCTAAAGTATGTTATATGGGTTTTTGTGATGTAAATGGTCTGCAAAGGCTAAAATCCCAAGCCCCCCCCCCTGCTTGAAACACCTCGATTGGACTCCTTTGTTTACTTTGGTAACACAATGACATCACTATGTAACTCTTGCGCTTCTATTGGCTAGCGCTCCAACTCATTGTACGTGATCGGCTAAGGGGTGGGACAATATCTGAGCGGTTGACCAATCACAACAGAGCCGGCCAGCTAACCAATCAGAGCAGACTGGGCTCTGGTTTCAGACAGAGGGTGAAAAGAGGGGCTGCAGCACAGGCAGTATGAGAGAAATAAATACATTTTTGAACATTAAAGCATTTAAACAGTTCACAGTAGAGGTAGAGAATACAAATATGAACCTGAAAATGTGTTTAATATATCCTCTTTTAGCTCTAACTAAACTGCAACCCTGTTACTGTAGTAGACGGATACACACCATGTGAAGAAAATAAGTATTTCAGTAGACCTTAGCACTATTAGTCTTTTTTACAAGGACCTTTGAATGTTGTATATTTTATTCAATGCTTTTGTATCCGTATCGTTGCATACTGTATACGCATATTGACTTAATTCCCCCCATTGGAGTCATACTGTTGTAGTACCATGCAAAAAAAGAAAATCCCTACTGCAGGTCTCCCTTGAAAAAGAGATCATTGATCTCAATGGAATTTTACCTGGATAAATAAAGGTTTTGAATTGAATTGAATTGAATCACAGGCAGAGCAATGATCTGGGAGGAGATGGCAAAATATAAAAAGTATTCATGAACGGGAGTTTCATTGCCATGTCTATTATGCTACTAACACCTTTCTTAAATTGCATAAAAAAACAGCTCGCATATTTTCGTTTTATGGAGACAGTAAAGTCGCTAAGGTACATAAGTGTGTGATTACGACCTAACCGGTGTGTAGGGGTGGAACCGCAGCTCAGAGACACGTCTTTAGGAGATATTGCTGTACATTTTTCAATAGGTCAGAGTGGAGGTAATGACTCCTCAGACAGAATCACAGTTTTTCTTTTACACTCTTTATCCTGTCCTGACATTTAAGAGTGGTCTTTTTCCTGTCAGCCATCACTGCGTTGTCTACAGTGTGGATGCTGCTGTGCAGAGAGGTGGGCAGAGTTAAAATGGTAATTACCACTACCTAAAACTCTTAAGTCTGGCTGTAAGTACGGTTATCAGGTGCTATTTAGTGTTAGCATGGGAGGCAGTTGGCCTATAGCAGAACCCTGCAAAACGTATTAAGGGAAGGTGAAGGGAAAGTGTTTCCTCCAGTCAATGAACCGCAGCGTAATTCCCTCAGTCTGGATCTGCAGTGATGTGTATACTTATGCCTCATTTAATCTTGACTTTGAAATGCGTTTTGATATCTATCTTCCCTCAACGTTATTTCTAATGCTCACTGGAGGAGTCTGCAGAGACAGAATATTGCCACCGAAATTGTTCTTTACACCTCGTTGGTTGGGTCTGCCGACATTATATTTTGGTACCCCACATTGACCAACTACCCTTAACAAATGCGTTGTGGCATGTAACTAGTACATCAAATAGATGCACAGACAGACAGGGGAGATCTGGTCCAGGAAATGTAATGAAAAGGATTTATTTTCCTTTAACAAATGAAAGGTCGAAGCCTTGAGCAAGAAAACACATTATTGTCAGTACACATGGTGGTTTGCTGCTAGAGCCTTAATTGGTCTGGTACGAGTAGGTGGCTATTATTAAAAAACGTAAGATAGATTGTGCTTTGCAACCAACACTAATTGGGTTATTGTTAGACTATGTTTTAATGTTTACCATTATCCTGTCATTGCCACTGTTGTTTTCACATTCATGTAGTGTGTTATATAGGTTTGTAAATGGTCTCAAAGGCTTAAATCCAAAAGTGTATCTCCCATGCACTCCCGCCTGCCTGAAATACCTCCATTAGACTCCTTTGTTTACTTCAGTAACATAATGACATCACTATGTTACACTCGCGCTGCTAATGGATAGCGCTCCGACACATTGTACGTGATAAGCCACGGGGTAGGACATCTCTAAGAGGTTGACCCATCACAACAGAGCCGGCCAGCTAACCAATCAGAGCAGACTGGGCTCTGGTTTCAGACAGAAGAGGTGCTGCAGCATGAGAAGAATATAGAGCTTTTTGAACATTAATGCATGTTAACATGTCACAGTAGAAGCTTTAAATACAAATGTGAACCTGAAAATTAGCAAATTATGTCCCCAAAATGTGTAGTTTTTAATCTAAAGACGTGTTTAACTCCATACAAATACTCTACTATGATTTATATTGATGATTTGGTCTTTCCCATAAAAAAGTTAAACCCTGAAAAGGGCCTGGAAGCACATGTACTCTTTCTTACTCATTTGAAAATCCTGGATCTATATCACAGGCCTGGCGCCCCGCCCTCGTGTTAGGGTGACTGGTGAAAGAGCAGCGTGCACCAAGATGGCTACAGAAAGCATCAGAGACATTCATCCGTATGTTTGAGCCTCAGCCAGATCCAGTTTCAGAGAAGTCTGCACTAAACACAGAAACTAGCAGAATCATCACAATGGTACTGTGGGTGTAATCTTTTATCCGTTTATGTTATTTGTTATCTTGTCACAAAAAGAGGACAGGTGCTGAGCTGGAAATGAGTAATTATTAAAATAATATGTGTGCACTTTGTTGTTGAACCTAAGTGAGCTTGTAACTGGCAGTGGCTGACACCGTGTCAGTGGTTGTGAAACAAAGAATAAAATCAAGTGAGGTTTTTTTGGTAGATGGTGGAAAGAAGCTCCAGGGTCCGGCTTACATTCAAAGACTGCACACCACCGTGTTTGCTGTCAAAACTTTCACCCTGCTAATGCAAACTCTCCTGTCTGTATTTCCAGTCCGCTCTGCACTGGAGGCTTCAGGTTTCGCTATTGGCTTTAAAATGTGAGACACACCGAATGTAGCTGGCCAGGGGTGAGTTTAAAACTCAGATTGTATGGAAGTGCACAGAAAACTCCTCTTTCAGAATCTCTGTAGTTACAACATTTTGATACAAGTTAGATCAGACCTTTTGGAATAGATAACAACAGAATATGATCACAGTGCTGCAGTTTCTCTGTAAGGCTGTAAGTTACAGTCGCTGCTACCTTGTGCCCTTAACTCTGGTTGTGTGTAGATGTAAATGAGCTGTGCAGTTCCTCTGCTATCATTGGCCGTCCCGACCTCTCAACATCCGCGGGGATTGGACAGACGTCACCCAATCCCTGCTCGCTTCTGCCACGTCATCCGGGGGAGGAGTATAAAGGCTGGGCACGGACACCATTCGGGAGGCTCTGTATTGTGTGACAGATGCCTCAACCCTGTCATTGTGACAAAGCCTTCGTTCTGTGATTCTGTTAGCAGTGTGTTTTCTGTGCCTCGTTAGACTGCTTAGCAGTGTGTGTTGTGTGCTTCGCTCGACTGCTTAGCAGTGTGTTGTAGCATTTTGTGAGTATTGCTTAGACCCAGGTGATTAGCGACTGTAGATCAGCATTCTTGTGTGTATTGCTTAGACCCAGGTGGTTAGCGCCTGTAGATCAGCATTTTGTGAGTATTGCTTAGACCCAGGTGGTTAGCGCCTGTAGATCAGCATTTTGTGAGTATTGCTTAGACCCAGGTGGTTAGCGCCTGTAGATCAGCATTTTGTGAGTATTGCTTAGACCCAGGTGGTTAGCGCCTGTAGATCAGCATTTTGTGAGTATTGCTTAGACCCAGGTGGTTAGCGCCTGTAGATCAGCATTATTGTGTATTGCTTAGACCCAGGTGGTTAGCGCCTGTAGATCAGCATTCTTGTGTGTATTGCTTAGACCCAGGTGGTTAGCGCCTGTAGATCAGCATTCTTGTGTGGATTGCGTAGATCCAGGTGATTAGCACCTGTAGACCCGCACCAGCTGTGTTCTTCCACAGTCTGTTTTGTTTATTGTTTTGTTTCCACTTTAGAAGTGAGATTTTCTTTCCTTTTGTATAGCGGGGCAACTCTCTTTTGGAGACCCCTTTTGTTGGATAGTGACAGCTTGACCCGTTGTTGAGCCAAGCTGTTTGTGTAGCCTACATCATTTTACTTACTTGCAGTAACAATTAAACCACCGGTAACGTATACCAATTCCAATCTGGTCGTGTCGTGTCCTTTTGGTCCTCCTAGCCCAATTGGGAACGTAACACTGTAGATATAAATATAGTTTATTGTTCCCAATGCAACTCAATGCAAATGATATTTGACTCTGTTTTGATCCTTGATGTATACAGTATATGTACGATAACAATGTATACAAAGGATCGAGAATAGAAAAGATCCTTTCAACTAAGGGACATTTCCTTACTGAAGAATAGCGCTATCATAACAACACGAGAAAGTTGAGCTCCATTAAGCCTCTATATAAATAGTACATAGTATTAGATGAGGAGAGATGTAGAAATATCTACCACTCTGTTCTGAGCTTGAGGCCGATTACTAACGCTGATTCCTACAAATGAATGTCATAGTTTGTAGGCACGGGAAGAAAATAAACCAACCGTGATGAAAATGTAATTTGTGTATCTTTTGAAATCAGAAAACATCAAGTCAACATGCAAGAAACAAACAACAAGAAAGAGAGCACTTGGCATGAGATCAGCTAGAACATAAAAACACTTTTGGCGCAGTGGTTAGAGCGTTAATCATCAGATCAAGGGGCGTTGGTGAACTCCAGTTCGAAACCCGCCGAGGCCGCCACTGCGTCAGGCCGTTGTGTCCGTGGGCAAGACACTTTACCCGCATTTGCTCCTGTGGGTAATGTCCACAGTAATGACTCTTACATGTCTAATATGTGTAATGTGTAATTGTAAAGCACTTTGAGCACCTGTAAAAGCGCTCTAATAAAAAATGTAATGCATTATTATTATTATTATTATTAATAAGACTTAAATACTAAACAACTGCTTTAAAACGCAAGAAGTGAATGTATTTCAGTAGCCTTCAGATAAAACAGTTGTCACGTATCTGCTACAACATGACGCACATCGGATGGCAGGTTAAACTGCAGTGCCGACAGATGCCACACATCACAGTAACTTCACAAAGTAAAATGTTTGGCTACTATCAGGGGAGCCTGCGATGAGGCTGACCTCAGTGTTAAACAGCGCCTCCGGCACAGTGGATTCAGACGGGTGACCTGTAGCTAACCCAAAGCCTGGGGGCGTACAGCCTCTGCCGTATGATAATAGGTGACTCCTGACCTCTTTGTGGCCTCCTCTGTGCTTCTCCAGGATCCGCAGGGTGTAGTTGGTCCTCTGCCCTTTGCTGTTGAACTCCACACGCCCTGTCAGACCATCGTACTCCACCTGGCCCACAGAAAGAGCGAGGTAAAAAAGCACGAAAGAGGACGGGAGAAAAGAGGAGAAACAAAGATTGGAGGATTAAAACAGAGAATGGAAACTCCACACTTAATCACCTTCTGGTAAGGAAAGAACAAATCCAAAAAGTTTAAACCAAAGTTGTGTCATTTAATAAATATGGCCAGATAACCCTGCAGCAATGTGTGCTAAAGAAACCCTTTTAAAACAGCAAGCACTTAATACAGGAAAAAGACAAAGGAAAGGGGAAGGTCTCAGCTCGGGAAGTTACATTACAGGGCTATTGAAATGTTGGTTATTAGGTTCAAGGTTCTTTATTGTCAAACTAACATAGCTACTAGTAATTATGTCGTTGAAAATCTTAGGTCACAGGCTTCTCCAACAATGCAACACAATAATACAGATAAGCAAACAATATTAAAATATACTATATTAAAAGTAATACAAAAAGAAAAATAGTTACCAAACAAAACCTATTACAAACCTAAGATCGATGATAATCACCTGACAATGGTCAAAGCGACACCCTTCTGTCTGATAACATTGAGTAGCTTGGCGTGCATTTAAACTGTGAGAAATTCAACCGTAGGCAGAAAGTTACAGTGAAATATATATTAAATGAGACTTGTGATAAATGTCTACAATAGAAACTATTGTTGCAATATTAATCAAATATATGCACTCATGCAATATCCTCATAGTAGTAGGCACAATATGTGAACATATCATTCTGAATTAAGTATTGTAAAGCCGCAGAGAAAGTCCCAATATCGCAATTGCAATATACGTCAAAAATATTCACAGTTTTCCAAATCCTGCAGCCCTAGTAGAAACAATAAGAATACTGTAAATGCTGGAAAAGAAACAGGCAATCTTCTTTAAAAAGCCAAATATGTTTCTTCCCACTATCTATCACGATTAGGCCGACAGGTGCGATCTACAGCGAAAAGAGAGGGTGAGAAACAAGAAGGCGCTATAGAGACGGAGGAAGTGTGTGAGGATGCAGCAGACAGGGGTGATCAGTTTTGGCTCAACTAGGAGAGAGTGAGTGAGCGAGGCTCAGAGAGAGAGTCAACAGCTCGCTAATAAGACTCAGAACGGCACCTCACAGACTCTCCTCTCCAGAACCCAGGTGCTGGCACTGTTAGCGAGATCTGTGATGAATGGCACGGCGCTGAAGATGGAGCACATCGTGATGTTGACTAACAAAGGCAGATGTCAGGCGATGGGATGGAGGCAGTGAGAGATGGGTTTCGGGCTGCCTTGACAACAGGTAGTCAATGAGACGAGTGCACAGACGACTGGTGACGGGAGATGACAAACAGTAACAAGAGACAGAGGTTACATGCAAAGTGAGATGACACAGAATGAAGCTGTACTGAAGTGAATAATGATAAAGGCAATAAAGAGATAATTAATCCACCACAGCTCTGATTGGGGATAATGGTTTGCGTGATTTTTCAAGTAAAAATGTCAAAATATTTGCTAGTTCGTTGATGTATTTCTCTGATTTATATCACTGTCATATAAACATATTGGTGTTTTTTGCTGCTGCTGATGATAAGGAAATGATTACCCTCATTACCAACTAATCTGCCTTTTAATTTACAGAAATCAATCAATTGGCTTTTCTATTAACCTGTTTTCCAGGTCTCAGGCTCGAAAATGACATGCCCAGAACAAATGACTATAACTTCACTTCTAAAAAGGGGTAAATGACTAATATTTTTTCTCAAAGCAATGATAAACCTGTGAGTTGGATGTAGAAAAGTCAGAATCAATATCCTTTTTTTTATTTTAAAGTAAATTCAGATTGAACATAGTAAAAAAAATTTAAATTATAGTGTCCGTCCAAAAAAAAACATTACTTATAGTGAAAACCACCCTTGAATGATGGGATAGTAGAATAAAAGCTTTAGGAATCCAAACAATAACATATAATAAGTACCCTGTATCAAGATTGATGCAAAACAAGTGACATTTTACTTTTTTAGAGAGATTTACAAAAAAAAAAACACTTCTGGGGTCATTTGGGTGCATTTTCCATATCTCTGGCCCCCCTCGTTCGATTTTGATGATTGACACCTCTTTGTAACCGTTAGAGCCAATAGAATCGAGGGGAAGTTCCTCAAATCCATCTAAACATTACCCATTGGGGAATGAGTGCTGCACAGCCAGAATACCCCGGAACCGGAAGCTGTGATACACTCTGGTGGCTTTCATTAGCAACTAATATGAAATCTCCGTTTTTTACATAAAAATTGAATGATGGATTATCAGGAATCATTTAAAAGTGACAGACACATTAGATTAACCTATGGATTAACCTTCAGCCGCGTTTTTTATCGTTTTAATGCCATTGAACACGACCTTTTTTTCAGAATAACAGCTAAGGTGAGACGATCTCCCGTGAATGCTCCGTAAAGCTACGTGTTGTGATGTCTGTGTTTGCTTCCCCTGTCGCGAGTTCTGATCGCTCAGTGATGATACTGATACCTATAAAATCTATGGAATCTCAGCTTTAATCAGATATCTAGTATGTGCAGTTACGATAAGTAATAAGGGTATTTTTACCTTGAGTTCTGTGCGTTAGCATTTTTTCGCTCAGGGCTCATTTAGACGCTTCTTGTGAGACTTGTGTTTTGTTTCGGTAAAAATGGTTCGTATCGTCAGTTAGCTGAGTTTCTTCCCGTTAAATGGGTACGACGAAAAAAATACCCGCAGGAACCGGATTAGGGTCCTCTCGGGCTTAACAGGTTAAATGTATAAAAATGTCGTTAAAAATCACAATTCTTTTGGACTCCAAGGTTTTTCGAAAGTTTTGCTTTAACCAATATCGTTTACTATCACATACCATTTTAGAATCTAGAACCAGCTGATTTGGCTTTTTTGTTTGAAAAATGACTCAAAATTAATAAATTATCAAAATATTTGCAATTACATTTTGAAAGACGTGAAAAGATCAAAAGGTATTTTCACTATTTTCTAACAAGTGTGGACATCTAAAAACCAATGTAATTGCATTGAACTAAGACGTACTACATGTGCTCCTTTCTTACCCATGTTTCTCATGATGTAATTGTGTGCATGCGTGTGAATTTGTAATTTGTGATTTTACAACACATCGAGCGATTACCATGCGCAGGTAGTTCATCAGACTGGTCCCGTGTTGCCAGATCTGAGGCGAGGAGCAGCTGAGCGGCTTCACTCCGATTTCCTGACTGCGGTTCAATTCCCTCACGGCCCCCACCACCACATGCACCGCATCAAACATCAGCGCTGACGAGAGCTGTGGAAGAGGAAACAAGAGAGTTACGAAGGGTGAGAAAGGCAAAATGGGGGAGGGATGGAAACCCAGCGAAGAGAGACGTGAGTCAAGAGATGTGCGGGTTCAGATGATTGAATGTTTAACAGGGAAGGAGAGAGAGAGGGGAGAGATGTGAGGCAAACCAGCTGGGAGGAAACACAGATGGATACATCAATACCCATTAAGTACAAGCAAAAGACTAGCTGCATCTCTTTAACTGCTCCATGAATCAGTGTGAGGAATAAGGTAGCTTAATATTTGATGTGGCGCACAAACAAAGCTTTGAAAATGACTCCTAAATGTGCACATGCATGAGTGCAGAGCGCCGTGAGACTCACCGCCGGCCCGGGGTACGTCAGGTCACATCCCTCCCTCCACGAGAGATTCAAGCTCCGGATGAACTCCAAGTAGAAGGGATGGGTGGTGTTAAACATGGAGAAACCCACGATGTTGGACTGCTCATCCACTATGTCATCCAGTCTCAGGAGCGGGAAGTCCTGGGTACACGAGGAATCAGAATCCCTTTATAATAATAAATGTATTTTGTAAGCGCTTTTACGGGTGCTCAAAGTTGCTTTACAGAGGTAGTGAAAAGGAAAAGGATTATACATCACATTAAAATCAAGCAATAAAACAACAATCTTTATGTAACTTTTAATCTTTTTTTAGCATACTGTTTATTATATTATAACTTAGTACTTTTTTAACGCATGTAAGATATGCAACACTAAGCTGTCTGTGGCTCTTTCCTGCTGTAACGCTGCAAATGTCCCCTCTGTGGGACTAATAAAGGTATTCTGATTCTGATTCTGAACAATCACACATTAAAAGTTAGTTTGAAGAGGTGAGTTTTTTGTACGTTTCTTTTGAAGGTGTTACGGTGAGTGAAGCAAGCAGGACCCAAATGCAGATAACGCTGAAAAAAGCCTTTATTTCAAGGATAAAATAAAAATAACTTGGACAAAACAGAACTCTCACCAGTGAACTCATTCACAAACAAAAGACGAACCAACACTGAACACAGCAAGAGACAAGACTAAATACAGGGAGGGGTAATCACGAGATGAGAAACAGCCGGGCAGAGGAGGAGAAACACAAGGGCAACAGGTGAACACAATCAGACAACTAGACACACCAGGGAAACTAACGACAGGGGGAAAACACAGAGAGAGGGACCAGACAATAAACCAGGAGGAAAACATGACAGGGAGAACAGCAAAACACCCAAACCTAGACATACGTGACATAACACACTAATCCTGACAGAAGGTGGTGAGGTCAGTGCAGTCTCTGATGGGTTGTGGGAGTGAGTCCCAAAGCAGGGAAATGTACAGTGTGACAGCAAGAGAGATATAGCAGATAAAAGGCAAGGAATAGCTAACGTAATTATAGAAAAAAAAGCACACATTATAAATATATATTTTTTAATAAAGAGAAATAAGTACTCATCCATGGCTAAACAATCCGGAGCAGCATTTAAATCGGTAAGTGAACATATTAACGTTTGATATACTATAAAGGATGTTTTGCACATGAAAATTATCATAGTTATTGGTTATTACTCGTCTATTATTATTATTATTACTATTAGAATCAGAAACAGGTTTATTACCGGGTAGGTTGACACGTACGAGGAATTTGACTTGATGTCATGGTGCATACATAAAAGTAAAACAAAAATGTAAAAACACAGATAGAGAACTATTTCAGGAAAACTATAATAACATTAAAAAATATAGTAAAATATTGCAGTATTTAAACAGAAATAGAATGGAGTAAAACATTGAATAAAATGTGGCAGTAATACAAAAAAACAGATATTATGTACATTAATATAATGATGATGATATTGCTTATTACTCTTCTGGGTGTTTGCAGAGAGAGACAGAACATTCAGGTGAGTGACAATGTTGACAGTGTATCAGAATCTGAGTGCAGAAGAAACCCACTGTGCGAAGAAAAGTGAGATGAATAAAGAAACAGAGGCAACAGGGGGTGACAACATTTAATCTCTGATGGAGAGAGAGAGAGAAAAACAAAAACATACAGACAGAGAGGAAAATGGGAAAACAGAGATACGGGGGGGAGAGATGTTGATGGAAATGACTCCAGTAGTTCTTCACAGAAATATACACACAAGACGTGGCTTCTAAAGCACATCAGGTGGAGATCACGCACGGCATAAAGTGACACATTAATTCAATATGGTGGGAGGGGAGGGGAGCATATCAAAGAGGCAGATGAAAAACACCAGAAGCGCAGAGAAGGTAGAAGAAGAAGAAGAAAGGGCGCATCACATCTGTCATCACCTTCACCGGCTCAGACCCCTTTTTCTTTGCTATCCTCCTCTGCACTTCCACATCTTTTTACAGGGTGTTCCTTTCTCAGATCTCTCCCTTTCCTTCCCTCCACCGAAGCTTCATGTCCTCTCTCTGTCACCTCTCCCTTTATCTCACACTATGCTCAGCGTTGCCCACTGTCAGCTTTGAAATCAGCTGTGGTCTAGAGAGAATTATGAGTGAGGTAACAAACGTACAGCAACACAATATTCGTATTAAAGGTATCGAAGATCTTTTATACTTGCAAGTATGACGTCTCACCAGAGAGCATGTACTGTTCTGAGTGAAACAGGCTCTCCTTTATAGGAGGACGTCAAAGCTTAGTTACATTACAAACAACATTTGGTTAGGCCAGCTGAGACCCCCTGGCACTGTGTGCAAAACTCACACCCTACACAGAGCAAAAGGGATACAGATAACACCTTATCCTAACTTCCTTCCCCTCATCCTATCTCCTAATGGATGTCATAAAACCCCCTAGTCCAAACACATCTGTTCTACACACACATTGAAAAGGTCCCTTCCCACGCTATGACTTAATCAGAGGAACAATGTTAATACATTTGATCTCACAATTTCCGTAACACCACCCATAAGGGGACAGAGGAGGAGGAGGAGGAGGAGGAGGAGGAGGAGGAGGAGGAGGAGGAGGGGATAACGAAAGGAAGGAGAAATTCAAAGAGAGGTAGAATTGGGAAGCTCTTACCATTGTGGTGAGGATGTACTTGTAAAATGCAGTCGTCATCCCCAGCTCTGACGCCTGTGAACCAAAGACAGAAAACATTGAAGATGAGGGAAGATTGATGAAGGGAGAGATGGCAAAGAGTTATTGAAGCAATGGAGACAGTTTGGGGGAAAGTAGGAGGGAATGTTGGGAGGAGAGGGAGCATACGTTAATCACAGTTTTACATCATCAGGCTAACACTCGGACATTTCGCCGAGGGCGGGCAGCCGCTCCGATGTGCCCGGTGAAAACATTCCATACACATTCAAACTGTGACTCACTGCGCTGGCTACCGGCACTACAGGCCCTACTATGAATCAGAACGAGCCGGGGTAACATCAGCGCCGTGTCCCAGCCAAAGATGTTCTTTCGTCATGTATTTTCTTAAGAGCGCAAGTGATTGCAGCTGGCAGACATACATATTTGTTCCCAATGCAGCCCTGGAGGGCAGGGAAGGTAAAAACATGCAGCCTTTGAGAGAGTTGTGTGTATACAGATGATAAGCTCTGCATGAACATGAATTTCCCGAATAGGTAGGAAAATGCAAATCCCTGAGCTTAAAGGTCCCCTATTATACTCTTTTTCATCAATATATTATAGGTCTCTGAAGTGTTTGGCTCCAATCACCAAACAGATCATTGCAGCATTACCCATAATCCCCTCTGTTTCAGCCCTGTTTCCAAAGTGCTGATTCTCTGTCTGTTACTTGAGATGAAAATAAGGAGCCCCTCCCCACGCCCCTCTGAGAGAGATTTGGTTACAAAGAACACAATGGTGCTCTAGGAGGAGATTCAGGTGATAAGGGGGGGGGGGGGGGGGTTACCTTGGTTGCTGATTGGCTAATGGTTACACAAGCCAAAACATCGTTATGACATCACAAAGTGGCCAAAATCTGATCAGCTCGTTTTCAGACAGGTTTTTATAGAAATGGATCAGGACAAAAAGAGAGAGAATCTTTGTTCCTGAAACTTTCAGAGTCTCTTTCCACAGAGGGGACACATGTTGATGTAGAAGAGACATGAAGAAGAGGGGACACATGTTGATGTAGAAGAGACATGAAGAAGAGGGGACACATGTTGATGTAGAAGAGACATGAAGAAGAGGGGACACATGTTGATGTAGAAGAGACATGAAGAAGAGGGGACACATCTTGATGTGGAAGAGACATGAAGAAGAGGAGACACATGGTGATGAAGAAGAGACATGAAGAAGAGGGGACACATGTTGATGTAGAAGAGACATAAAGAAGAGGGGACACATGTTGATGTAGAAGAGACATGAAGAAGAGGAGACACATGGTGATGAAGAAGAGACATGAAGAAGAGGGGACACATGTTGATGTAGAAGAGACATGAAGAAGAGGGGACACATGTTGATGTAGAAGAGACATGGAGAAGAGGGGACACATGCTGATGAAGAAGAGACATGAAGAAGAGGGGACATATGTTGATGTAGAAGAGACATGAAGAAGAGGGGACCACATGTTGATGTAGAAGAGACATGAAGAAGAGGGGACACATGTTGATGTAGAAGAGACATGAAGAAGAGGGGACACATGTTGATGTAGAAGAGACATGAAGAAGAGGGGACACATGTTGATGTAGAAGAGACATGAAGAAGAGGGGACACATGTTGATGTAGAAGAGACATGAAGAAGAGGGGACACATGTTGGTGTAGAAGAGACATGAAGAAGAGGGGACACATGTTGATGTAGAAGAGACATGAAGAAGAGGGACACATGTTGATGTAGAAGAGACATGAAGAAGAGGGGACACATGTTGATGTAGAAGAGACATGAAGAAGAGGGACACATGTTGCTTGTAGAAGAGACATGAAGAAGAGGGGACACATGTTGATGAAGAAGAGACATGAAGAAGAGGGGACACATGTTGATGTAGAAGAGACATGAAGAAGAGGGGACACATGTTGATGAAGAAGAGACATGAAGAAGAGGGGACACATGTTGATGAAGAAGAGATATGAAGAAGAGGGGACACATGTTGATGAAGAAGAGACATGAAGAAGAGGGGACACATGTTGATGTAGAAGAGACATGAAGAAGAGGGGACACATGTTGATGAAGAAGAGACATGAAGAAGAGGGGACACATGTTGATTGAAGAAGAGACATGAAGAAGAGGGGACACATGTTGATGAAGAAGAGACTGAAGAAGAGGGGACACATGTTGATGTAGAAGAGACATGAAGAAGAGGGGACACATGTTGATGAAGAAGAGACATGAAGAAGAGGGGACACATGTTGATGAAGAAGAGACATGAAGAAGAGGGGACACATGTTGATGAAGAAGAGACATGAAGAAGAGGGGGACACATGTTGATGAAGAAGAGACATGAAGAAGAGGGGACACATGTTGATGAAGAAGAGACATGAAGAAGAGGGGACACATGTTGATGAAGAAGAGACATGAAGAAGAGGGGACACATGTTGATGAAGAAGAGAAGAGACATGAAGAAGAGGGGACACATGTTGATGTAGAAGAGACATGAAGAAGAGGGGACCAATGTTGATGAAGAAGAGACATGAAGAAGAGGGGACACATGTTGATGTAGAAGAGACATGAAGAAGAGGGGACACATGTTGATGTAGAAGAGACATGAAGAAGAGGGGACACATGTTGATGTAGAAGAGACATGAAGAAGAGGGGACACATGTTGATGTAGAAGAGACATGAAGAAGAGGGGACACATGTTGATGAAGAAGAGACATGAAGAAGAGGGGACACATGTTGATGTAGAAGAGACATGAAGAAGAGGGGACACATGTTGATGAAGAAGAGACATGAAGAAGGGGGGACACATGTTGATGTAGAAGAGACATGAAGAAGAGGGGACACATGTTGATGAAGAAGAGACATGAAGAAGAGAGGACACATGTTGATGTAGAAGAGACATAAAGAAGAGGGGACACATGTTGATGAAGAAGAGACATGAAGAAGAGGGGACACATGTTGATGTAGAAGAGACATGAAGAAGAGGGGACACATGTTGATGAAGAAGAGACATGAAGAAGAGGGGACACATGTTGATGAAGAAGAGACATGAAGAAGAGGGGACACATGTTGATGAAGAAGAGACATGAAGAAGAGGGGACACATGTTGATGAAGAAGAGACATGAAGAAGAGGGGACACATGTTGATGTAGAAGAGGCATGAAGAAGAGGGGACACATGTTGATGAAGAAGAGACATGAAGAAGGGGGGACACATGTTGATGAAGAAGAGCATGAAGAAGAGGGGACACATGTTGATGTAGAAGAGACATGAAGAAGAGGGGACACATGTTGATGAAGAAGAGACATGAAGAAGATGAGGACACATGTTGATGTAGAAGAGACATGAAGAAGAGGGGACACATGTTGATGTAGAAGAGACATGAAGAAGAGGGGACACATGTTGATGTAGAAGAGACATGAAGAAGAGGGGACACATGTTGATGAAGTAGAAGAGACATGAAGAAGAGGGGACACATGTTGATGAAGAAGAGACATGAAGAAGAGGGGACACATGTTGATGTAGAAGAGACATGAAGAAGAGGGGACACATGTTGATGAGAAGAGACATGAAGAAGAGGGGACACATGTTGATGAAGAAGAGACATGAAGAAGAGGGGACACATGTTGATGAAGAAGAGACATGAAGAAGAGGGGACACATGTTTGATGAAGAAGAGACATGAAGAAGAGGGGGACACATGTTGATGAAGAAGAGACATGAAGAAGAGGGGACACATGTTGATGTAGAAGAGACATGAAGAAGAGGGGACACATGTTGATGTAGAAGAGACATGAAGAAGAGGGGACACATGTTGATGAAGAAGAGACCTGAACAAGTGGATTTTGCATAATAGGAGACCTTTAACTGTGTGTGTACTGTTTACAAATGCATACCCTGCACGTATGTAGAAGGTACTGATGTTTGAGGACTGACCTTCTTGAGGATGAGATAGGAGACGGAAGCGTTTGCATCAATGATGATGGTGGCCACTTTGTCGTCACGGATCTCCTTCAGCAGCGGCGTAGGGTCCAGGTTGTCATCCAGCATCCTGATTGACAGCGTCTCCCGGGAGATGAGGAAGCGGCGGACCAGTTCCTCCAATCTCAGCAGGCCTGAGGCAAAGCCAAAGCACCGGTGAGCTGCATATCAATGTCTGTATCAGTAGACACAACTCATATTTCCAAAATGTAAGCTTTGCAGGACCGGAGAGAATCTTGATTTATTCCCAGCTGGTCATATATGTGTCATTTTGCAAAGCATGATGGATGGTTTGTCTAAATCCCCAGGAAATGAAACATCATTTAATACAGACACTAGCGTATGTCTGCATTCGCTGTTTCTCTCAGACAGACTTACCATCTATTATGACCTCCACCAAGGTGCTTCTGGATTCAGTGGGTTTGCATAGCGGGTTATCTTAAAATACACTTGAAAGATTTTGTAGAAGAGTGAAGCAACGGGAAGGTAAACAACTGATGAGTTTGTGCTGTGGAGAAAGCGCCACAATGTAACCATTTATAAAGCACTACACATTTAGGAAGGCTGTGGCTCAGTGGATAGTGTGATGGACTTCGAATCAGGGGGTGGCGAGTTCGAGTCCCACTGCAGTCAGCATGTCGTTGTGTCCCTGGGCAAGACACGTCACCCCAAATGGCTCCTGTGGGGATTGTCCACAGTACTGAATGTATGTATGTTTGGATAAAAGCGTCTAACAAATGACACGTAATGTAATTTAGCTTTAAACTGCTCAAATGTTCCTTTGCAGCTAAATCAATCTTTCAGAAAACATCCATTTACACCAAGACAGATTTCCACCATCTTGGCTTGTTCTCATCCCTCCTCCCACTGACACACTGACAAAGACAAAGCTACAGATGAGCAGAACAATAACAGAATATGCAAGGGAGGAAAGAAGCTAATCAACAATCCCGAATGAAGACACTAAAATTAAATACTTTTAAATACAAATTAAGTGAATTCAATCAAAGGATTCAATTAGTTTCAAAACATAAAGTCATTGTCCTGTGAGGAAAAGTCTCATGTACTGAAGATAAGGAAAACTAAACAGTAGGGTAAACAAATAATACATTAAAAAAATTAAATAAATGTATGTCTCTTAAATGCTAACTGTTTGAACTGTTGGAGCGTATTAAGATTATTTTATGGTCACATTTATTTTACAGGAAACTGACGCATCAAACCCGAGGATCCTCACATGTTTTTCCTCTTTAAAGTCAATTATCCCAGTTTTGTCCAATCTAGTTAACCAAGTTTGATCCGTAAATATTTGGACAAGCTTTCAAATATTTACATCTCCCCTCCTTGTTCTGAGAAATGAAAATACTATGCTTTTGATAATTTATGTGTGGATATTGTAAAGGAATATTTTAGTCTTGTTAAAGTATATAGAGTTTAGTGACTTGTCCTCGGGAATCTGTTTAATGGTTAAAGTGTATTCCTGCCTGTAATGTGATCCATAGCTTCTCAGGAAGACACAGGTCAAGAGGTCATCTGATGTCTTGTCGGGGAGAAGCTTGGCTCATGTGGGTTTGCAATACAACGAGTCTTTGTCTCGACATCTGGCATGCATTAAAGGAAAACCTGCGTGTTTTAGGGCCCTCCTCTTCTTCATGTATAGATGTGTTCTTGGCGCTTTTGTCTTCAGAGTTGGCTGGTATCTTACATGAGAACTGTATTATACTGTGATCTCTCCGGCCGTCTGTCTCTCAATAAATATCAGTGTATTGACAGGCGAATCCAGTTTCCCTCATTTGATGATTGGCTCAACATTGCTGCAAAGAAGTTTTTACTTCACAGATATGGTTTTCAAAATCAAAAGTTATTTACTACTGAATATTTTTGGTAGAGTTACGGTTTTGCTTTGTTATTTATTAAGGTTAGGAACCATAAACCAAGGCTCACACGTTTCCTTTTTCCTGTCAGAAAATGTACATTTGATTTTTTCTTTTTCTAATAAAATGTAGTATTATTTAACGTGAATAAATGAGTGGAAACAACCTAACTTTCTTAACAAAATGCCGCTTGCTTTGAAGTTCATTCAATGTAATCTGTGGCATCAAGTTTTCACATCACATTAGTGTAAATTGCATTCGTTTTACTGTCTCCGAATTATAAACAACTTCTAGGTTTTACATAAGCATTTAAAAGCATTGTGCAACAGGACGATAAGCTCATGACATTAAAGCTTGTATGGCACCAAACCAACATGACAAAATAAAACTATAACTCAGTGCTTATGAGTCTGACTCACCTGAAATTAATCTCTTTACAAAGCCCTAATATCCCCAGAGAGGATTTTTAGGTATCCTCCAAAATTTATGTGAGCCATCAAACAATCAGTATGACACATTTTTAAACATTGTCTATTAATAGAATAATAAATCAGGAGAGTTGTGCAGACTTGGCAGAGGTATGCGATCTTTGAGTGCTTTGTAATTCACTTTGTGTCTTCTATCCCATCCATCAATGATGCTCTTCAGTTCTTTTGAGTGATGTATGTACTATCAGAAATGTTGTTCAAAAAGCTTCAAATAAAATATAAAACTAAAACTGGAGATTTCTTTATGGATTCTGCGAACATCTGGCGAGCAGATGGACGGAAACAGAAGCAGAACTGCAGGAGCAGAAAGACCGAAAATACAGCACTTGAGACTATTCTCACACTTGAAGCGATTTGAGTAGTACCAAGTCAAGACTCACTTGACATTGGGTGTGGAATGAGCCTTTACCAGGAAGTCAGCCCTGGTGCTTCCTAATTGTAATTCCATAATAAGGCACCCCTAGCTATGTAAATAAGTGGAGGGGCAGGCATCTGGGGGACGGAGGGGAAGGGGAGAAGGAGGGGAGGAGAGGTGGTGCACAGAGCCCTTCAGCAGGAGAAAGCCTCTGTAAGCAGTGGGGTAATCACTGAACCAGGCCAAAACTTTAATTAGTTTGGAGAAGGAGGGGAAAAATCAATGCACTTTACAGCTTCCTCTCCACCCCTCCTTCCTTCACATATTCTCCCTCTCACACATAAGCCCTAACTTCTCTATCTCTCTGTTCCCTGCCCTGTGCTCCAGTTACCTCTCTGTCTTTATCCATCTCGCCTTTTTTACGCCACCATCGTCTCCTCCTCCTGGCACTTCGCGTCGCCGTCCGTAACCTCATTCATCTCATGAAAACTGCATAATGGAATTAGGTTCAGATAACGCATTGTGACCCAGGAATAGCGAGAGTACGATATGTATAAAAATGACCTAAAATCTCCTCTCTTCTAACTTAATATCTATTCTACACACACGGCTGAAAGGGAGGGATATGTGATTAAAGCAATTAACATGTTGTTGCAAAAGTGACCAATTTCTAATTACGTTACTTAATTATAGAGCGCGCATTGGTGGGTGTCAATGAAATGCAGGACTTTACACATTTCTCGCCTCACTGACAAAAAAGAGAGAATGTCTGCTTCACTTGAACACTGCGCTCAACACAGGGGTAAACACGATGAATAAAACAAGTGGACTGGTTGTAAACATTGTCTGATGTTGAGCACAGAGCCGTACACACACCCATGCAAATACCCCCAAACCCCTCACACACATGTACGGGCAAACAGTACACTCAGGGGCAACACACACACACACACACACACACACACACACACACACACACACACACAGGCGCCAGTACAGACAAAGTAAAAGCATGAAAAACATCAAACACACACACATACCGCACCACACACACCCACACATTCGTTCACAGTGTGGAACAAGTCTGTTGAGTGGCAGTTAGCACCTATTCTGCAGCCATGGCAACCAGCTCCATGGCGATAGATAGCGGCCAAGTGGGTCAGAGTCTGTGAGTGTGATAACCTTGTAAAGATCACCTTCAAGCCAAATATATTACACACTCACATCCCTCCGTCTCTGCACCGGTGAAAGCTGCATCTTCTGACCCCGGACGCTACAACTATGCATCATGTAACTATGATGCTATCTGTTGCTTCTAAACGTTTAACTGATGATCAAACCTGAGAAAAAGACGTCTGAAGCCATTTCAGTTCAATAAAATGACAAGTCACAACCACATTTTGGTTTGTCAAAATCGACCCTTTTCTCACTGTAGTGACAGGTGTTCACAGACTTCAATGGCCCCACTAATTCTTTATGTAATTGCCCTTCACTCTTGCAAGGTTTTCCTCGGCTTGTGCGAGACGCTAACAGCTGCACAACAGCTCAGTTTCACTCACACACATAATGTCAGATGACTATTCAGTGGAAGAAATTAGTATTTTTCACCTCCTACTGACCTACTGCATACATTATTTTCGAGCTTTGTTTAAATACTACAGCCACCGTCGGACCAAGCCCTTTCATTCCCTCTACTCTCGCTGGGGCAGTGCATAATAAATCAATAACGCACTCTTTCAAAATGAAAATGAAGAGGGCTAGTGACTAAGCCCCAAATCCCCAGTGATGTTAAAGCTCTCTGAGTGTCTGGCAAGTTAAATCAAATGTCCCCTAAGTTCTTCCAATACTAGAAAGCATTTCAAACACGAATATTTATTAAATTGCTTTGGCCGAAAAACCTGCTGAGGTGAATAAGAGACAGTGTGCAAGAGCATTGAAAAAAAATAGAAGAGCAGCAGCAGGAGCCGTGTTGTGATCTCGGACCACAGACAGAACTTCATGACCAGACTGTCAAAATGAGTGTCCCACCATGCAAAACAGTCATATCCGCCCAAACAGTGTGAATGTGCCAACACTCCCACAGAGGCATTTGCACGCACACACGTTAAAAACCACACAGATATATAGTCGGTATAGCTGGAACACAATTGATGCACTTACACCCACCTAAACAACAAACACAGCTATGCAGTCGCACATAAAGTACTGTGCAACACTCTCTCTGGCCTTCTAGTCAGAGCTGAGCATGACACCTGACATTTCTCTGTGTTTTGTCGTTGTAAATTGTTGTCTTTTCTATTTCTTTGTCTTATGTTATTGTAGTGTGCTTTTATTACATGTACAGCACTTTGGCTCGATGAAAAATCGTTTTTAAATGTGCTTTATAAATAAAACTTGATTAGATTTGATAACAATAGAAGGGGAACTACGTGTACTCACACTCAGCCTTGGCACACACCAGGCTGGCTGATGGGTAACTGAACGAGCGTAAGATGGATCCTATGGCCAGACTCAGGTCCTCGTTGCTAGGGTACAGCGTGACAGAGGCGAATCGCAGGTACGGCAAGCGGGGAGTTTCCTCCGGACCGATCTTTACATGAGGGATCTGGAAGAGAGGAGAGAGGAACATTAAGGAAGGCAAATGTGTCGTGATTAACTCCCCTTCTAACACTCGAGCAGGAAAAAACTGTGAATAAGAACCATCCATTAGTGAAGGCTACAGAGGGAGAAAAATAAAGGATAGATAGATGGAAGAGGCACCTTAAAGATAAAAGGCTACGGGGAGAAAGCAGTTGGTTAATTATATGAGAAGAAATGCGAGGAAAACTAATCTTTAGAGACATTCATCATGACGTGTGTGTGTGGGTAGGAGGGGTAGTGTGTCAGAAAGGAAGAATAACTAGTTGTCTGTATGTTTACATGAAATCTGTGTGTGTTAATCCTCCACACTCACCTCCTTCTCTCCACATATATGACTGACAGTAGAGCCGGAGGCGGGGCTGGAGGCGGGACCTATCACAGAGACGACGCCTTTGGGTAGAATCTGACACACTGAAAGGGAAGAAGGGGGGAAATACACATTGAATATGCAGACACATTCCCCTCTGCTACAGTTGGATGGCAGCTTGCAGTTGGCATACAGTAACACAGCTGCAGTCAGGGGAGAAGAGGGGACATTCAAAATGCAGCAAAAAACTCAGAAGTTGCATTAGTATTTCACTTTAAGCACTGCTTCTATTGTAGCAGCACGATCTGTCTCATTATAATCAGATTCATGTTGAGATGAATGCTCCGGGGACGACAGCAGGGCAGGCCAGGGTTGCCTGCTGCGATTATTCACTTGTTAAGACAGTTGTTTTATTGATTTGAATGATTTTGAATCATTAATTTTGAATGTTATTATATCTCTGGCATTAGAACAATCGTAACGGACTGATGGTCGCCTTCGAATAACAAATGCCGGTTTGCATAATTATTTGCACGAAGACATCGATGTGGGGGAGGCGGGAAACGATTTTACACTTTTGTTTATTACAACAAGTACTTTGCTCAGGAGAGGCTCAATCTAACAATCTCTATTGATGCAGTTCAAGCATACATTTCACTCTCCAAAACCTCCATGACAACAAGTATCCACTATGTCCATATTCCCATCTTAATGGGAAGAAATTATCTTTTTGTTTAATACATCTTATCAACGTAAAAAAATATATTCTTCCTATGATTTTTTTAGGAGGTTGCCATGCCATCTATTCCCTTACTCTGATTTTAAAAATTATTTTATTTCATTGTCAATATTGTGATGTTTGAATGGCTTTTGTGTTGACCTCAAGAAGATTAGTGATATTTGCGGAAGTACACTCTGTAGGGGGATCTTAAGTAAAAGTAAAAATCCTTTATTTTCTGGTTATGAACTTTCAATTTAGCTTATAAAAGTTCTGAATGACTCTCATAGTCTCACAGTTAATACCCTAATCACCCAATAAGCACAACCCTCTGAAATAATGTATTAAAAGGCAAGGCTCGGTACTCTCTCTTCTTTGAAATCCTGACAAAGATCAGCTAAGGTCAAAAACTTGATGCTTTTTAAATCGTCTCCATTATGCTGAACATATACATTAATGATTCAAAGTTAGTTACAGGACAGTTGTGGTCATCATCTGTCTTACACTTGACTAATTTAGCAGTCTCTGTAACTGATCAATACGCTTATTCACTTTCCTGCCAGGAGTCAGAGGAGAAGACTCATGTCTCAAGACTGTACGATAAATATGAAGCTAAACTAAGCTAACCGGCTGCAGACTGTAGTTAGTCAGTCGTATGAAGCCTTCAGAGTGGTCTCATCTAACTCTCAGCAAGAAAGCAATAAGCATATTTTGCTACCATTGACCAGTCTTCCTAAAAAAGGATACATTCATAATTTACCATAAAGCTAATATTAAATAAATGGTAATGTAGCTGATGCTTTAAAGCTGACATTTTGTAGACATGCCGAGGAGCGCTAAGGGGCTGGACAGCTTGCTCAAGGACACTTCGACATGTTTACTGCAGGGGGTGGGATCGAACCCTCTGATTGGTGGAAGCTTATTTACCCCCTGCGAAACAGTCTAACTTGTTTTGCACAGTATCTTTTAGTCTAATGAGTTTTTATTACTGTTTTTTGTCTACCCACCTAAAAAAAAAACAGCTTTCAGAGATCCAGAAGAAATGAGTCTGCGGAGTTAACTGCGTTATTCTTATAGTAATAAAGCTCTTTTTATTGCTGGTATATTTGGTTGGTATTTTAATTCATCCCAATTAGTCGTCCTCAGTCGCTGCCAGTGCCTCTGTGTGTGTGCGGCGCCCACACTGTGTGAATGTGCATTTGTGTCTGAAGATAGGGATGTGTGTGCATGCATGTGTAAATGTGCATGATTGTGTGTGTGTGTAAAAATGTGTGTGAAAATGTGCATGATTGGGTGTGTATGTGTGTGTGTGTGTGCCTCAGACAGCCGTAGCTGTAAGATGATGAGCTCTCTGATCCAGAGGCCAAAATAAGCCGAAAGCAAACAAGCCTGTCAAAGTCTCCTGCCCATCGGTCAAGGGCACACACACACACACACACACACACACACACACACACACACACACACACACACACACACACACACACACACACACACACACACACACAACTCAAGCATGCACAGATGTACACACCCCATCTTCAGCACACAGACATGTTGCCAGTAGCTCGTGGCAGGGTCGGGGAGCAGGGAGCCTGTTGTCAGCTCAGTGGCTGGATTCAGCAGCACTTCTTCAGTCTTTACACTCTCCAAATATTCTGTTTTAAATCTGTGTATCAATACAAGTGTCATGGAGCGGCCCTTTGTGCTGCTGCTGCTTTCTGCTGGTCTGTGCTGCTGATCTGTGTTAGTGTTTGATGATTTGTTGTTGCCGTGTCCTGCACAGTAGGCAGAGCCAGCTGTTACTGCAGGGCACTGGTCCACTGTTTTTAATGAGACAGGCTTACTGGCCCATTACTGGTCTCCAATGATGTGTAAACTAATCAGTGAACGCCCTTACTGGTTGCTAATCACACGAAAGTGGGGGTGTTTTAACTATCCGGACATCATTTGCTCATAAAAAAGCAGCTTTTTTTCGGAAATGTAATTACCTTTTTTGAAAATATCATCAGCCTTTTTAAGTGGGATCAAAACTGCAGTAGACTGCTTTTCTACTCTTAGCCAGTCACTATAAATATTAAAAGTTCATATTAATAATAATAACTACTGGTATTTTTCGTGGTCACTTTCTGCCTGGGCTAATTATGCCCTGCTGGACTGTCATAGATTAAGCAGGACTTTATCAGTCAGTATCGCCCTGGATGTTTCCGCTCTACTGGTTTTCTTTGGCATGCGTCGGCGCCACTCACTGGTGTCAGTAGTGTCGTACTGGGAGTCTTTTTGCAGTTCGTATATGTCCACCTCCACCCGGGCGCGGGCCGGACCCTCCATGGCGCTGTTGATGTTCTCTCGGGCCAGGGACAGCGCCAGCCGCTCCCCCCGCCCACACACAGACTGGTCATCCAGGATCGCCGCTAGAGAGGCGGAGAAGAAGGAGAGGAGTGTGAAGGTCTTTCATCGGTCGCTCTGCCAGAAAGCATATAAGTGTATTTCCCAAAATCTCATACTACCAGTTCAGTGTGTGTAGTTGTTATTTAGTTGCTACAAAGTTCAAGTCCTTTAGTATATGATGTGTTTGGATAATTTCGGCAGGCCAATGTGTTATTTGGTCAGACAAAGATATTGACTTCTTACACAAAATTATATATTTCGAAGTGTGAAGGTCTTTTCATCTGTCTCTCCGCCAGAAAGCAAAGAAGTGTATTTCCCAAAATGTCCTGCTACCACTTCAGTGCACTAATGTACATTTCCCAAAGATATTGAAGTGACTGTTATTTTGTATATATTGATTGTTGTGCTTTTATTGATGTCTTACGATACGATAATACTTTATTGATCAGATCAAGTCTGATATTTGACTTGCATCACAGCAGCTCCATGTGTAACATCAACGTAGACAAATATCAAGACACAATACATGAAAAACAAACAACAAACATTTAACATCACAATCACTGAGAGAAAAAAATGTCACTGACCCTTTATAGCGTGCATTTGATCTGGGATTCAGCTCTGTATTTACTGTGAGGATACAGTCTGACTTTTTTGAATCGTGGGACCCTGTATCTCCGATTAGATGCTAGCAGTTCATATTCGCTGTTCAGAACATGGTTTGGGTCAGAGATGATGTTGCTGGACAGCCTTATTAGGTTGTAAGCTCAAGTCCTTTAGTCTATGATGTGTTTAGATCATTTTGGCAGGACAATGTGTTATTTTGGTCAGACTCAAATCTTTACTTCTTATAGAAAATGTAATATTTCGAAGTAAGGGGTGTTGCCCTGAACTGGCATTGACTGTAGCCATAATATGTAAAAATAAAAAATGTATATGATGTTAAAATGACACATATATTAACATTGTTTAATACCCAAGTGCTTCTTGAATCATTTTATTTTACAAATATTTTTGTACATTTTTCTACAGTTATGGGTACAGACTCTCTATCCATTTTCCTACATTATATTTTTTGTATAATTCATCCACTGACAAACTGTGTATTTCTCAAAACGAACAAAGAGGTAGACTCATTTTTAGGATTGAAAATTATTCCTCTTTTTTATTCCCTATAGACATGTGGAAATATAGTTGTTGAAAATGATTGAAGCCACAATTACTGCAAAGTGAAAATCTGATATCATGGCAACCCTATTTTTCGAATACTCTTACATCTGTATGAGGAAACCAATTGAAATGTATAAAATCACATATGAGTGTTGTTGAAGGCAAGGCAAGGCAAGTTTATTTATATAGCACTTTTCAACACAAGGCAATTCAAAGTGCTTTACAAAAAACGAAAGACATTAAGAAAATGGCATTTAAAATCAGTCATTAAAAAGAAAAGCTAATAAAATAAACATTAAAAGAAAAAATACATGGATAAAAGTTACAGTGCAGTTTAAGATGTAAATAGTTTAATTAAAAGCAGCGGCAAAAAGAAAAGTCTTCAGCCTGGATTTGAAAGTAGTCAGAGTTGCAGCGGACCTGCAGGTTTCTGGGAGTTTGTTCCAGATATTTGGAGCATAATAACTGAACGCTGCTTCTCCATGTTTAGTTCTGACTCTGGGGACAGAAAGCTGACCAGTCCCTGAAGACCTGAGAGATCTGGATGGTTCATAATTTAGCAGGAGGTCAGAAATGTATTTTGGGCCTAAACCATTCAGTGCTTTATAAACCAGCAGCAGTATTTTGAAATCTATTCTTTGACACACAGGAAGCCAGTGTAAAGACTTCAGAACAGGAGTGATGTGATCCACTTTCTTAGTGTTAGTGAGGACTCGAGCAGCGGCGTTCTGAATTAGCTGCAGCTTTCTAATATATTTTTTAGTGAGACCTGTGAAGACACCATTGCAGTAGTCGAGTCTACTGAAGATAAAAGCATGGACAAGTTTTTACAAATCCTGCTGTGGCATTAGTCTTTTAATCCTAGATATATTCTTTAGGTGATAGTAGGCTGATTTAGTAACTGTTTTAATGTGACTGTTGAAACTCAGGTCAGAGTCCATGACTACACCTAGATTTCTGGCTCTATCTGTTGTTTTGAACATTGCAGACTGAAGCTCAGCGAAGGTATCAGACTGCTACTCATGATGGAGCCTTTCTTTGGAGAAAATCTACTTTTATTCTCACACCTGCATATAATACATTTCTGACCTACTGCTAAATTATGAACCATCCAGATCTCTCAGGTCTTCAGGGACTGGTCAGCTTTCTGTCCCCAGAGTCAGAACTAAACACGGAGAAGCAGCGTTCAGTTATTATGCTCCAAATATCTGGAACAAACTCCCAGAAACCTGCAGGTCCGCTGCAACTCTGACTACTTTTAAATCCAGGCTGAAGACTTTTCTTTTTGTCGCTGCTTTTAATTGAACTATTCACATCTTAAACTGCACTGTAACTTTTATCACTGTAACTTTTATTCATGTATTTTTTCTTTTAATGTTTATTTTATTATCTTTGCTTTTTAATGACTGATTTTAAATGCCATTTTCTTAATGTCTTTAATTTTTTGTAAAGCACTTTGAATTGCCTTGTGTTGAAAGGTGCTATATAAATAAACTTGCCTTGCCTTGCCTAGTAGATGAAAAAGTAGTTATTCTAATAAGATTGTATCATGGATCACTTGCATGGTGAAATATCTAATTCCGTATAACGAGATTGGACACCAGAAAGTATATTATTACTGCACTTTTGGCCTTTGAGAGTCATTTTATTTCTTGATGTTCTGACCAAAGTGGCAAAACTCACTTTGAGTCACCTAAAGAGCCCAAAAACCAACCAGGAAAAGTATGTTGAGAATTTTTTTTTCATGTAGTGAGGATGGAGGGACGGCTCACCCATGCGGACGGAGGAGAGCACAGGGGTCTGACCGAGGGAGCGTGGCGGCATGGTGACTAGCAGGAGGAAGAGGAAGTGTATTGACAGCAGCAGTGCTGGCAGAGCCGGCATCTTCTACTGCTCCTCATGGAGAACGGTCTGCTGGATGCCTGTACCACCAC